ACAATTTGACTGTGCCCGAGTGGCTTGCATGCATATATATATTTGGACTGAGTGTGGATCGGGCTGCACGCCGCAGCGAATGCTACGATGATATTGCGCTTGGGCTGTAGGAGCCCCTACGGAGTCTGAACCCCCACAGTGAGCGCGGGTACCCAAATGGATCGGGTTGCGCGCCGCTGCGGTCATGCGCATTGCATTGCCTTCATGCATTTATACCTATTTGTCTTACTTGTCCTGGTATTGTTGTTGTTCCACCGTTTTATGTGCTGAATCGCTGATTATAGCTTTATATTGTAATATTTCGGAATTTCTTACTTTCAGACATTATATATGTTTATTACTCACTGAGTTGGAAGTACTCACTTTCGCCCGGTAGCCGGTTATTAGCGGATTGAAGGTATTGTTATTGTAGCTGAGCAAGGTGACCGCCAGCGTTCGCGGCACCGGATGTTGTCTTTTGTTTTCCAGAAATTTTACTTTTATATATTTATTGGCCTGTGGTTGTGTTAAGGTTTCCTTAGATGCTCGTGACTTGTGACACCCCGGTCGGGTAGTAATTAACAGTTTCTAATGTCCTTAAGTTGTATCTTCTATTAATTTATGTTTAATAATTGTTAGTGAAAGGATTTGGGTTAGTTGGATGGCCTTGTCTTCACGAGAGGCGCCATCACGACCGGATATGGGAATTGGATCGTGACATTCTCTGTACGCGATTTTGTTCTCTGTATCATAAAATACTTGTGATAAAGAGAGCTTTTCATTGTAACTACTATGCATCGAGGCAAAGACAAAAAGAATTTATTTAAATTTTAATTAAAATATAAACTCCAACATGCCAAACTTTGGGAAAGGAGTATGTTATATGAAATGTGGGATAAAAATTTAAACACCCTTGTTCATTGGGCTACATCTATTAAAGTTGATACCAAATGTTAAATAGACACTTTAATTTTGGCTAATGATTTTTCTTGCCAAAATTGTCTCGTGAATACCTTACATTGACTGGCCAAATGTGTGTTTTTCACTTCAACTAGTTTCTACGTTCGTGCGTTGCACGAGATTTTTCAGTCAATTATTTATGAAAGAGTTTCAAATTAAATTTTAAAAAATAATCATAGTGAGCATGGTTTGATTGATATTGTCCAACTCAAAGTTTTAATATTTGGTCATTTAATAAAAGAATAATATAGGAGATTGTTGGTATAATTGTGTAGGAGATGTGGATCAGAGGCGGATGTAGTGAACAACTAACGGGTTCAACTGAACCCATAACTTTCGATGCGGAGTAAAAATTTATATGTAAAAATTCATTAAAATTACAAAAGTAGCGGATATGAACCAATAACTTTAAAAATATAATGGGTTCAATGCTAAAAACCTTAAAAGTTGAACCCATAAGATTTAAATCCCGAGTGCGCCTCTAATGTGGATGATGGCAGGAGGTAACGTACATTGAGAAATTCTATCATTAGTTGGTATTAGATTCCTAAATATTAGGCAAATTAATTAGATATTATTATTTATTCAATATGGAACTATCTTTTTAACAAAATATAAGAGTATAAAAGTTGATTAATATTTTAAGGTTACTTTTGTCGTTCAACATTTAGCATGAAACATTCGTGCTTTTATAATAATATAGATAGATAGATATAGATAGATAGATAGATAGATAGATAAATATAGATAGATACAGTATATTAAAAGCATGAAGGCCTTTAATGAAATATAATATTGTTTATCTTTTTTGCCTTTTAAAAATAAATTTTGCATCGAATAAAATTATCATTTAATTTATTGTTTTAATATTTAAAGTTTTATAATCAACTAAAATTTTGATTACTAATATTTTCTAGTTTTCTTATTGAATTAGGTAGGAAGTTTATAATATAAATATATATTAGTTTTTTTTTATATATATATTAGTTTGGGATTATGTATGGAAAATAAAAATACAATGTATAGAAAACGGAAGTCAAATCTCTTCAAAAATCAATTAATATTTTGCATATAATAGAATAAATTAGCCATTTAAGTTATTTTTTAATATTTACAATTTTATAATCAACTAAAATTTTGATTATTAATCTTTTCTTATTGAATTAGGTAGGAAATTTATAATATAAATATATATTAATTTGGGATTCTGCATGGAAAATAAAGATACTATGTATAAAAAGCGGAAGTTAAATCTCTTCAAATATTAATTAATATTTTGCATACAATAGAACATTCAAATCCACCAAATTTTGTGCACTTAGTGTTGTAATAAATCACCGCCGCTGAAGAGATCTTGATTTGCGATCGATTCTATTACAAGTACCTATCCTAGTGTGTAGTATTTCTAGTTTTGTCATTTTCATACGATTTTCTGTAAACACTAATGTAAATAATTAAGGGTATAAAAGTCAATCAATATTTTAGGGATATTTTTGTCGTTCGACATTTAGCATAGAACATTCGTGCTTTTATAATGACTAGTTTTAGTGTACGCGCGTTGCGCGTGTACTTCATATCAGTGAGTATAAGTTTTTTAAGATTACGCAAATATTATTAACCTATGTAATTGAGTTATAAAATAATTTCAAAAAAAAAACAAAAACAATAGCTATTGATAATATATAGCCAACTTAATAAAGAAAAAATTACTTAAATCACATAAAGTTATTCTAATGTCTTATCATGATTTTGGTATATGAATTGTGCGTTTGCTTTAGTTGCTCGACATGATAGAATAATATGTTAACTCGCATTCAAATATATCCTGTAATAGTATTATATTCTTCATGGCCTTAAAAAACATAAATTCTATTTGCTCAAGTACATAATATAAGTTCCATCTTATTATAAGGTTTAACTATCATACGAACAATTTAAACCCAACTACACGTGTTTCAAAAAAATAAAAATAATTATCATAAAAATTAAGGTAAAAAATTATTATTATTATTATCTTAACCAACATGAAGGTATCATGTGTAATATAATTATCAAAAGGTATAATTCTGAAAAGGTATAAATGTCCATTAACATTTCATGTAATGTGCGTTAAGATAAATCATTATAATAGTGTTTGCAATATTTATTTTTATCTGCATATACAATTTTAATATTTTTAATTATAAAAGTGAATAATAGTTAACTAATTAAAAGCTATTCATTGATAATATTAAGTGACGGTATTTGACTTCAACTTTCATTCATAATATTTAGTGATGGTATTTGAATTCAATTAATTGGATATTATCTCTCTTAATTCACGAATAATATCGCTGAAATATGAGTTCTTTTATTATTTGGATGGTTTTGTCATGAGAATCTTACTATTATTATTGATATTTGTCACGAGTTTCATAGTTATATTAATAATTAAAGGTAATCATGAGTCAGAATACACACGAAGTATAAAAGACAACAACAATTAAAATCAAAGAATTCTTTTCTAAAATTTGAAAATTAATTATTTCAAAACTAAATTCAAAATAAAATACATAACTAATGGCGTTTGTATNATTATCTCAATATAGAAAAGTAAGTTAATTTAAATGAGGAAATAATTTAAATAAGGTAAAACTTTTATTACTTTTAAAGTCTTAAATATTAAGAGTTCATATATATTTTAAATAAGGAAAGATTTCTAGTAAAATTGAATGACTATTCCTAAATATTAGGAAAATAATTAAATGACTATTCCTAGATATAAGGAAATTAATTAAATGACTATTTCTAAATATTTGAAAATTAGTTAGAAGGACTATTTTGCCCAAAGTGAACTCTATTTTTAAAGGGTAGAAAAGGTGACCGACATTTGGCTAAGGACCTTCGTACTTTTAATATAGTATAGATATATATAGATATAGATATAGATAGATATAGATATATATAAATGTTAACGCATAAAATCCTTTAAATTTTGGTTTTTCTTCTTTATTTTTAATAATTCTAGGAGCCCCAACATTTTAACTATTCTCATTAACACACCACCTTCTTCAATTTTCCATCCCCAGCATCAAGGCAATGCATAAAAATAAAAGATTCACTATATTATTTTGGATATATAATATAAAATTATGTCAACAGCGTAATTTTACCATGAATTAAATTTATCAAAATAAATTAAAGTGAAATACTACATTTTTTTAGGAATGAAAATGGCACTTAGGAAGTCCATCTTTTATCGTAATATTCATTGTTGAAGGTTACTTTCAACTTTCATATTGCTTTATTGACTTGAAGGTCGAATATCTTTAATGCTTTTTTCCTAAATCTCGCAATGTGATTTAAAATTTAGTAGGCGTTTGGACATGAATTCCAAAATAAATTTTTAAATTTGGAATTTCACTAAAATTTGAATTGAAGATGAAGTTGTGTTTGATTATAATTTTTGCAACATATTTGGATGTCTTTTTTTGTAAAAGAATGAAATATGATTTATACCCCATGTAAAAAACATCAAAATCGCCCCAATTTAATTATCCTACTTGAAATAAACAATCAAACATGCTACTGTTTAACTGTTCTCATATCCTACTTTAATTCAATATACAGAATATGCAAAATCAATATCACATTTTCTAACATAGTCCGCTTCCCACTGCTATTACCAGTACTTGTATTCATATTCACAGGCCCAGTACCAACATGGTAGTCGTCACAAGAAAATGGTTCATTATATGTTGCAATAGCTTCATCTGATCGTCGAGGGGAAACATGTGGATAGTTGTAGGTTAATAATTAATGAGGTTATTTTATAAATTTTAAAAGTATATGATAAATTTAAAAAATTAAAAACTAGTGAAAATGCATTTTCAATTGAAGGTAAGACCCAGTTTTTTAAATTTGAACATTTTCAAGTGAAATTGAAAAAATTGGTTCAAAGCAATATTTGGAAAAAAGGAAAAATTATATGTCCAAACGGGAGTGTGTGTAAAATTAGTTGAAATGACAAAAGCAATGTGTAGTTGTTGAGTGATGTTTTAAAATTATAAAACGGGCTTTGTATGCAATTAATTAATATGCTCTCTTTTCTTCCTCCTTCGCGCAAAACCTTAAGCTCAAAAACCCTACCTACTTCAAACACACCCACCACCTTCATCGTGCTTCCAAACAATGGTCAACAAGTCTAAAGCTCAGAAGAAGCAAAAGCGTGGTGTTGATTTCAAAGTAAAAATTTCATTCAATAATTTTTCGATGAATTTCTGTTTCTTTTTCCTTTTAACATGCTTAAGAATTTGTCTGCAGAAAATAAAAAGGAAAATTGGAAGAAAATTGCCTCCGGCCCAGAATGCTACTAACACTGAAATCAAATCCAAAGGTAAAGAAAAATGGTGAACTTGGTTAGTTATATTTTGCCTATGTGTGTATATACGATTTCTATTCTTGTAACAGGGTAAAAAGTGGTAAATAGATGACTCCTTTTTTTTTGGGACAGTAACAGCCATTTTTTTTTGTATTAAGTTAATGCCTTGAACCATTTTGGTTTCCATTTAGTGATGTAAATTTTGATCAAAATGGTGTAATATAAAGGTGTCTATGCTGTTGAGGAAGATTGACGGATTAAAGTATGTTTTTATATTAATGACTTAATTAATTGCAGCAATTATTCTACCTGAGCAAAGTGTAGCTTCAGAGAAGGCTGGTTTAGCTGTGAGCAAGAAAGGTTTAACGTTGAAAGAGCTTCTTCAGCAGACAAGTCATCACAATGCTAAAGTTCGTAAAGGTACTAACTTGTACATTTTTGGGCAGTCTGTTAAGGTAAAGGGCAAAAAGTTTAAAAAAAATAAAAATAAAACATAAACTGCATCATGTAATGTTATATCTATTTGCTACATATATGTTTTGTATACATTTGGCACTTGCATTCTCTATATTTTCTTCTTTTTGCTTTTTCTCTTTTCGTTTTTTTGGGGTTTCTATTAGAAATTCAAGTGGCAGTGTTTTTTTTTTAATTGATAAAAGAGTAACATTTATATAAGAAACCAGCAACTGGATGATGGTGGGAAAGTCAAGGTGCATATAAGCTGGCCTAGATACCATTGTTATCAAAATAATAAAATAAGAAGATGCCGGGAATTTACAGGTCATGTAACGAGCTAATAACATCCAACAAGGCGCTAGGGTAAGAAGTATTTACATCAGCCATGTTTCACCAAAAATGAAGCAAAAGAACACAAGTGACAGTGTTATGATTATAGAAGATGAAATTTTGTCATTTGTTAGAGCTAGTGTTTCACTAGTTTAAGTTTACTTTGTGTTTCTTCTTTAATTCATTTTGTTCCTTTGATTTAAAAAAAGATTAGGTTTCTTACAAAACATCCTATATATAGTAGGGCAAGTGTTTTGAGATTGCAAAGCATTTGCTATCCTATTCTATTGCGTTTCGGCCTTATTTCTCATCTTTATAGTCAATGGCATAATGTGGTAGTTAACCATGCTCAATTTCTTTTGACTTCCAGATGCTTTAATTGGAATTAGAGATGTTCTTCTTAAATTCCCTGCTGAATTGAAACTGCATAAGCTTGCTGTTATTGAGAAACTACGTGAACGTATCAGTGACGATGATAAATTGGTCCGTGAAACACTCTATCAGCTTCTCAAGTCAGTTATTTTTCCTGGCTGTAAAGAGGTAGTTTCTAAACCATTTTCTTCCAGTCCTCTCTTTAGCACCTGACATGGTTTCTATGAGTAAAAGTGCATTTGCTATCTATACTACAATACTTCCCAGAGCACGTATTCATTACCTGAAGTAGTTGCCAACTTGCCGTGCGCTATAATCCACTTAAGTGACTGCTGTTTTTCTTGCTGCACTTATTTTACTTATTTTAAGTGGTTTTTTTGGTGACACTTAACAACTAGTTCCCCCAACCCCGCACCTTTTTAACTCTTAAGTGGAAGAAACATGCTTCAATGATCTGGTCAGATCGTCAAATTGACAAATCATAGCTGGTGTACGTCAAATGGTCATCTATCGAGAACTCATGTACCCCATTTCTCAAGACTCAGGTTCTCATATACATCGAGTTTCCTCTAACTATTTTGTTCCTCTTATAAATCATAGGCAGGCTTGTAGTGCTTAGCATTTCGTAACACAATTTTTGCTTGTTTCAAGAGCTGTCCTTTACTGTAGTTCTCTATAATTTCGTCAATGGCCAAAATGAAAGACGACGATTTACCTGAATGCATAAAGAGCTTGGAATGGTTGGTGAGGTACATATGATACGAAGATGGACCAGCATCTCAGTCACATATTTTGGTGTAAATCAGTATATCTTCTCATTCTTTTGCTGAAACTTTTTCTTAGTCTCTTCTCAAAGTCGTGGGTAATAACATCAGGATATTCTTTTGAAGTTTGATCAAGTGATGCTTACTTCATGTTGTCCTAGTAAAAATACCAAAAGTACACTTTATGTCTGCTGTCCTTACCAGGAAACAAGCAAGTAGTTAGGGCTTAGAGTCATTCTTGTACTCAACAGCACCCTGTACCCCAAAGTATTGATAAACAATGGTTTAGCTGAAAGAGAATTTGTGATCTATGTGAAGGAGTAGCATCTGCGTTCGATTTCTCAGAAAACTAGCTTCCAGAGTCGTCGTACCATAGACTATAATCGGAGAGATCTATATCAGAACTCTCAGGGAAAATCTCCGACTGGAGTTGGGCAACGAGTGTATGATGCTTTTTTCATACTACCTGGCCTTCACGTATAACTTCCTAGACAGTTTTCTTTTTATCTCAAATGGAAAAAGGAGAAGGGGGGTTGAGGCTTACCACATAAAGATTCAATATGTGAGAAGTCCCTACAGGAATTTGGTCATCTATGTACGAAGACCTTAGCAAAATGTCGTTCGTCTTTTTTACCCTTTTGAAATAAAGTTCACACTAGACAAAATAGTCATTTGATTATTCTCCTAGATAATATTTAGGAGTCTGAAATTAAATTAGATTTAATACTTATTAAATCTTTCCTTATTTGAATTAAGTAAGAAGTCCTTATATTTAGGACTTTAAAATTATTAAATTTTTCCTTATATAAATTTTACAATTGAAGTATGATTAAATAATACCAAATCTTTATGCGTATGAATTTTTACAGTTGAACCTTTTTAAGCTCAAAAGAGATTATATAATTGTGCTAAATTTTAGGTGAACAATTATAATGTAAACAAAATAAAATAAAGAAAAGATTGAAGAAACTAGAAGCATTTTGCTTTGTTCTTTATGCAAGTCAGTAATTAACCTATAAATGTTGTGAGTAGTCTATGTGTGATTGGTCCACTGAGTATTAATTTTATTCTCTGATCAATAATTTGCTTAGATATGAATATTAATATAGATTTTAAAATATAATTAGAAAAAATAATTATGAAAATATTTAATAATAGCAAGATAAAGAGAGAAAAAAAGTAATTTACAAAAGTAATTTACTAACAGTACGACAAACATAAAATGCAAAAGTTCAATTTTATCATTTGATAAAAGAGTTTTTGTGGATAAAAATATAGTTATAATTAAATATTTAATATGATATGAGTTAATATTAATAATTTGAATCATTAAAAAATAGATTATTTTCTTTAGTGATTAAAAAGATAATTAAGTATTTGAATTATTTTTTCCCGGAGTTGAATTAACTAACTAGCGAAATAATTCAATTTTATTCCTTTCCAAATTTGTCGAATAGGTAAAATTACTTTTCAAGTTTACACAAATCTTAGAGTACATATTTTTTTTCCATAAAAAGACCATCGGTGATAAAAAGAAATAAGAATATAAAACAAAATGTTGAAATGCAAACTTTAAGAAATAAGGACAAAATAATAGAAGACAAAATGTATTCATAAAGAGATTTCAAGTGAGACACAATTTAACATATTTGTATATCATATTATAAGATATGTATAACTACGAAATAATGTATAACTAATTTAACTAAATTCATCATCTATGCATATTCAGGAGATATTGAATACAATTACTATTTTAGTGTGATAAAAAATATTTTTATCGTTTAAACAAATATTATTTTTATTTTAACGTCAATATATATATATATATATATATATATATATATATATTTAATCGATAGACACTACACACTAAAACTAGTTGGAAGAATAATGGTTACGTTCTATTTGGTTGTTTGGTTAGTCAGACTCTTACAAAGTCTGATAAGGCGAGGTTACCATCTTGCTTGTTGTTTGGTCACTAGGTTCCTTTCAATGAAGCAATACAAAATGTATATTTCCTCTGCTCGTGATTTGGTATCCACGAGTGAACAACAACAACAACAACAACCCAGTGGAATCCTAGAAGTGGGGTCTGGGGAGGGTAGTGTGTACGCAGACCTTACTCCTATCTATGAAGGTAGAGAGGCTGTTTCCGAAAGACCCTCGACTCAAGAACGTAAAAAGATGGAGCAATAGAGAAACAATAGCAACAACAATGTAATAAGATAGTGTAAGCAAATAATACAACAAATAATGACAGAGATCCAAGGATATGAAACTACAAGAATAGTGCCAATCCTACTGTTAATACTAACATACCGTATAGAAACAAGGGACTAGGAATAGGAAGGTACTCGACTAGTACTACTACGGGTAAGACAAGGCAAAACTCTTAGACTGTCTATCAATCCACCACCCTAATTTTCGACCTCCACACCTTCGTATTGAGGGTCATGTGCTCGATAAGTTGGAGCAGAGCCATGTCCTGCCTAATCACCTCACCCCAATTCTTCTTAGGCCTCCCTCTACCCCTCCTTTGACTCGCCATGGGCAATATCTCGCACCTCCTAACCGCGGCATTAGCGTCTATCCTCTTTACATGACCAAACCATCTCAGCCTTGATTCCCTCAACTTTTAGCCACACCCACTTTGTCCCTAATATATTCATTCCTAAGAAAAGATAGAGTTTGTTTCAATTGCTTTCGGTTTTTACTGTTAGTTCCGTTCCTGCTTGTTAGTCTTGCGTTTTCAGATCAAGTTAAACCTCCCTTTGCATGCCTTGTTCCTGCTTGTGATTTTGCTATATCGTCTTATATTCTCTTAATATTTGGGGAGCTGATGGCTTTATTTTTCTATTCTTCTGTCTGTGATTATAATGTTGGTTGTTCAAATTCTGCAGGACTTTGTACTATGTTTCACCTATAAAAGAGGGGGCTAACGCTATTCGTTTGTGTTGCAGGATAATAAGGGACCAATTAATTCCTTGATGATGACATATATATTTAATGCAATGACAAACATGGCTATTGAAGTGCGGCTGATGGCTTTCAAATTTTTTGACCTCTTGATCCAGTATTTTCCATCATCCTTTTTATTTTACGCTGAAAAGGTAAATAAATAGATTTTTACATGTGGAAAGTTTTTACATTGCTCCAGGTTTTAACTTGATTTTTAATTTGGCATTGTTTTAAGTTGTTGACGGTAATTCTCTAACTATATTTTGATTTATCAGAAAGAACAATGTTGAATTGTGTGACTATCTCATCTAAAAGCTTAAGCCGTTAGAGAGAGCATACTTTTATTTACTTAATTATGTCTTCAACACGCCCCCTCACGTACGGGCTTGATTCTTTTTGATGAGCCAAGCATGTGGAAATTCTTTTTGATATTGGGTGGCGGTGAGACTCGAACCCAGGACCTCTGCTTGCTCGGATACCATGTTTAATTGTGCGACCATTTCATCTAAAAGCTTAAGCTATTAGAGAGAACACACTTTTATTTACTTAATTATGTCTTCAACAAACAAACAAAAAGTAACTTTATCTATATTCATTGACCGATACATTCTAGAAAATGCAAGTCCAGTATATTGCTCGGATTTGGGTGCTGGTATCCGCTCCGGATGGGAATCTAGAGGTCAGATCGTTCATAATCTAAATTTTAAGATTCTGGGGTATGGATCCAGTGTACGGGTGGGGATTCAGCTAAAAGTAATTCAAAATTCTAAAAATAGATATATACAAATATCCAAAGTTATGAGAGATATTATGTGGTAAACTTATAGGTAATGAAGTGCAACCAATAATTCAATCTTTTTTGAGAATTTCTCAAGCTATAGGCTCTAGTAGGCAGCAACTAAAATTCAATCTTTCATTTTTTCATTTTTCGTCAAATTTTCCATGGATAGTGGTTAAAGTGCTCGCTCTCGATTGACCACACCCTGTACGAATCCCATACACTTACCCGTACCAGTGTCGTGTCGACAAGGGTGCGGCAACTAAAATGAAGAGTCCGGACAATATAGTTTGGAATGTAAACTTTGAGAATGTGCGCAATAGAATTATACTTAGAATGTATCAGTCAAGGAAAATATTGTTAGAATGTATTTACATCACAAGCTGCGCTATTACGAACCTTGGTACTGTGTTTTAACCCACATATTATAAGCTGCGCTCTTACTAGGGCTCGGTCATGGGCCCATTATCCACTGAGTTTAGACCGTGCACCACTGGCACTCGGCGATTCCTGGGTTATCAAAAAATAAATAAATTATAGTTAGGTCACTTATTAGATTGATAATAAATGAATTATATTTAGGTTACTTATCAGAGAAGAAGAGTTTTCCTTGTGTTTTTCTCAACCCATTGCCTTCAAAATGATGAAATTGCTATTGCTGTGTAGTGCTGATTTTATTTTCTTCATGCACCATTTTATCTGATGTAAGATTTTTATGTGTCAGTGTATTCTATTTCATTTCTGTTTATTCTGTTATGGTTTATTGTCTTCAATGTCGTGATGGAGTTTTTTCTAAAAAAGCCTCTTGTTTTGTACAGATTCTCCAGAACTATGAGGACATTCTGCAGAAGAACAAATTTTACTTGCAAGACAAGGGCAGGCTAAAGAATGCTCTTGCTGGGTTGGTTCGCTGCTTGTCACTGTTACCATGCAGTAATCAGAAAGAAGGCAACTCCTTAAGCGACAATGTACTATCTTGTTAATTATGCCATCAGCATGCTCGAGTGCATACTTTTCTGAAGTTTTATGGTTCTATGTTAATTGCAGGAATTTTTTTTTTGTATGTTAATCATAGGAAATAATTTGTTTTGGTACTCAAGAATGTCTGCAATATATAAATTTGCAATAACTTAGCAGAATTGACGTCTCTGTCTCTAATGGCGCTATAATACATACTTATGTCTTATATCCTATTCAGTTTCTGTTAGATTTTATTTTCCTTGACAAACAAATGCATGTTTTGTACTTTTCTAAGAACCCATGAGTAAGTTCTATGGAGGATTTAGCTAATTGTCCAAGTCAGTAACTTGACCTTCCTTTAAATAATCACTGGGATGATGCTTGAAAACAGAGAAGAGGGGAGAACTTACCGTCTTTGTTCTGTTTTATAGGTGAAAATATGTAGTGGGCACCAAGGTGTTGCCTCCTTGTACAGTAATGTCCGAACACTTTGTGTACAGTAGAGCTCCTAACCGCCATAATCTCATTGAAAAGCTTAGCCAGTATAAGATGCTACAACATGACTTCTTGTTTAGCCTCCAAATTAAATTATGCTAAAATGGGGGACCTGATGTAGAATAAATTGGAATACAGCTGTGCAATGACCCTAATAAATTGGAAAGAATACTGTAACATTTGGAATGGATGTTCTTACTTGCCATCATGGTATAAAATATAAGATTGATGAGTGGCCTATCCTTGTATTTGTACTCCTGCAGATTCAGAAAAAACCCTCTGCCTATGGAGTAAGTTTTCCCGTTCCAAATATCATGCAAAAGTGGACCCTTGTAGTTACCTTCCTTTGGCGTGCATGTTACATTTTTTGTCGGTATTTCCTTCTTTCTTAGGGGTGGGATGGTTAGATTGTTCTGTTAACTTGTAGTTGATATACTGCAATTTGCCCTGAATTACTGCTAAACTTGTTTCTGTACTGTGCTTCCAGTTACTTTCCTTGTAAGCTTCTTCCATTCGGCGCTTACTCTTTCATTTGTATAGGATGCAGCTCGGGCTAGCTTGCATGCTTTTGACCTTGATGTCTCCAATAAATCTACTGGTAAGAATTTGCCTTGAATTGAACTTCCAGATCTGCTGCTTTCATTTCAAAGATCAGGGCTGCTTATGATAAATCCTTGCATTGGATATAAATATACTTCTTGTGTACTTAATTGCAACTTATACTTTGATGAACCTTTAAGTATTTCTACCAACCATTAGGCTATTGGTAACAACTTTATCTTCTAGATGCACAATCACATAATACCTGGTCCAAGAAAGCTTTGATGATCTCCTCAATCGTGTTAAACATCTAATAAACATGGTATCAATTGTGGGGGTTATTGTTCCCCACATTTACCTAAACAAGCAAAGCATGCTCCAAATATTAACTCCATTCCCTAGACCCAAGGGCTTTGGTCTAGTTGTAAGAGCGCAATGCGGGTTTTCTGAATTAGACACACGTCATGAGTTTGAATCCCGCAATAGACAAACGCTTGATATTTAAGTCGAGAAGGGTAGAGTAGTAGATCCATATCCACTGAGTTTCAAACTTTGTGCCACCTGGTACTCGAAGATTTCTCAGTATCAAAAGAATAAAAATAAAAATATTAACTCTCCTCCCTATGGTATAAGCGAAAAATAACCCACCATGGAGATGTTGAAAAGCTTAACTTCCCCAAGATTAATGGACTTGGCAACTACATGTACAAATTTTTTCTGAAAAGCTGGAAATCCTTCTTAGGAGAAACATTAAAAAGGGAACTAGTTTTTGTTAGGGGTCCCATGATTTAGCAATCCTAAGGAATTGATGATAGACAGTCATTTAAAGAAGTTCTAAATATTATTGTAAGGCAATTGTTATCGTTTTAGTAATGCTTGGATGTTGTTCCTGAGTCCTGAGTTCTAGCGTTCTAGTTTAATGATTTTCTAGGCCCATAGACTCTTATATTAGAACGATCTTATTGGTATAGTAGCAATGTGTGATCAAAGCACTCAACATATGCTATGTTTTTGGATGTAATGAATACGGTAAAAACTAGTAGTGTCAGCTGGACCGTAGGTAACTGTGGTTGCTATTAAGATACTTTGCTTCTGGACAAGAGTCGTTTAAGCTTTTTTTGCGGCACAGATTTTTGCAGCATAAATAAATTGATCTGGTTCTGTAGATTTTTTCTTTTTTTCTTTTTCTTTTAAAGGTAAGCAAAAGGTTTCATTTGTACTTGAATCAACCAGTTGCTCTATTTACTGCATAAATTCCAGTCTCCCTTTTACGAGTCTGCAGGTAAAGGAGCTGATAAGTTCTTTAGTATCCTCTTCATCATTCAATAGATCCCATTTATGCGGAAAAGCTAAAATATTTCAAACAATTGGCTCTCAGAAAATGTAATGGAGTGGCCCTTCCTTCAAAGCGTCTCTGATCTTTCTCTCCCGATGCTCCAGCAAATGCACCAGTGATCCAAACTTTCTTGAACTTCTTTATCTTCACTGCTTTCCACCTCATTACTGCTTCCTTCATATTGCCTGGTACGATCCGCTAGACCCCCATAAGGGATTTCTTTTTACAAACTCATGAGTCTTCCATATCTGCATAGTACACATAGCATATGCGACATATAGTAGTTCCTTTTCTGATCTTGCATCAGGCTTGACTATCATGTAGGGCTATGCAGCCAAAACAACATACTTTTATTGGTTATCTACAAGACACTTTTATTGGTTAGTAACCTGTGCAAACAGATAAGCAAGGCTTTTCTGCTTTCAGTTTCTTGCTGGCTCCTTGTTCTGAAGAGATTGTATCCACTTGATGGACAACTTCCTGTACAGTTGCCCCTCCAGATTAGTTAATCTTCCTTTGCTTCTTTCCACTCCACTCAATTCCAGCATTCCTAGCAGTTTGCCACATCATCTATCTCCCAGTCCCGACATTGGCCAAATTTGAGATTCAAATCAACCCTCTTCCTATACTGTGCAACAGTAACATCCTGTTGAGTAGCAATTCTGTTTAAGTTTAGAACTATTATATTAAAGGCCATGTCCCAACCATGACTTCTCCCAAAATCTCAGCGTTTTCCCATCACCCAAGTCAATGTTGAAATACTGCTTACCTTCTAACTGCCTTCCATACTCCTGTGCTAGTTGAACTAATTGCAACTACGAAGTCATAAGCTCTTTTTCAGTGCCTGACTTGTATAGGGAGAGCAAAGTGATAAAACCTTGAGCATAAGCTGGCATCGGCCTACTACCAACTTAAAAGGACAATTGTTGGGAGCTCTGATGCTAGGTCAGGAACAGTTTGAAACTCTTAAGGGTCGTTTAGTTACGGGATTAGGTCCCGGTATTGAATTTCAGATTGCGTCTACCCACTGTTTGGTTATTGGTATTAGTTAATACTGGTATAAATTTTATATCAAAATCTTGGTATTATCTATCCTATATAGAAGGTGGGATTATAATCCTGGTTATAATCCCAGGATTATAATCCTGGGATAACCTTATTTTGAACCAAACGGCCCCTTACTTGACTAGATGCTACACATTGTATAACTAAGAATATTTTAACACAACTAAACCAACACACATTGCTTATCTTGTCTGAACTGCCTTTTTTAGCTACATCATGTACTTTGTGAATCAATTACCAGGGCTATTCTTTTGGGAGGTAGGAGGCAAAAGAATATGGAGTTAACTCTATGCTTTATATGATTGGGTATAGTAGTCACATGACTCGGCAGTCTGGTTAAGCATGTTTGTCCTTTTAAAAGCAATGGTAAGAGATTAAAGAGATTGACTTGTGAGTTCCAAATTTAGCAATGCCTTTCACCTTTGATAAACAGCTTGAGACAAGAAATGCAGTTAGGGAAAAGATTCAGTATATCTAAACCGGTGTTATTAAAAGCCATCGTTTCGTCGCTTGCACAGCGAGGGTTATTGCTTCATATATGAAGTCATGCACTATAGAGAAGTGTGCACTTCAAACAATGGCTGTAAAGTGATCCAAACAAAAAGTGATCAGCTCTTTGAATCTTAACTTCGAAGAGTTGGATTGACATTGGCATTATTGTATATTGGATGTCGCAATGAGTTACTTTAATTGCAATTTGATTATCATAGTAATAAATTCACATATGTTTGGTATTTTTTGATTTTCTGTAAATAGTGTGCTTCACATCTAGTCCTTCATTTCATGCCCCAAGGGCCTTGTCCCTTTTTTGTGTATATCGCTATTAAACACACTGATCTGATCCCTGAGCATTGGAGGTCCAGAACGTATAGATTATAGAAGACCTTGGTTGAGAATTGGATTCTTCATGAATGATAATTTTGGTTATCTCTTGCTTTCATTTCCCTTTCTCTTCTGTTAAGGGCTCACTTTCTGTTCCCTTTTCGCTTCTTTTTGGTGAAGTTACTCTTTTTCTTAGAAAAGATAAAAGATGACCGCCTATTTCATCAAATTGTTCTGTGAGGATGAAGGAGGGGCTGTTAACATCTGCATTCATTATGACTTTATTTGGCTTTGTTTTTGTCGAGAATTGCTAAATCTGAATCCTGATGTCATTTGTTTTGTAGGTCTTTCTGGTGTTGTCAACAAGTTGACAGATCTCTTACCCATTCTAGTTAGCTGCTTCCAGGACTTTAGTCCACTGATACACTCCACAGCCCAGATAGATGCACAATCCTTCGATTGTATGTTGTCTTTACTTCAAAGCATTGATCTTGTGGTGAGGTTCTTTGTTCATGCGTCTGGCAAATATCAACAAGACTCCCAAAATCTGCCACCTCACCATAAAAACAACCTTAGCATATGTGACCAAAGTATTTCAGTAGTGAATTTAAAAAAGTTATGGGATGAGTTCCCCTTGAGTCCGGTTCATTGCTTGTCAGAGAAGGTACAGTTTCCTTCAATTATTTTTCTTCATCCATGCCGCTCTCTGTTTATTTTTTCTGTTTTTTTTTCTCGCTAGCTTTCCTCCCCCCCCCCCCCCCCCTGGAAATAAGGGAAAGAAAGAAATGGAAGGGAAATGTACACTTTCCTTCCCTTGTAAGTTTTCGAGAGAAAGAAGAAAGGAAGTGGAGAGTACCAATCTTCTTGTGGGACCCACCAATTTTTTTTTCTTCTATTTTCCTTCCTTGTACTTTTCCCTTACCTTCTCTAGCTGCCAATCGTAGGGTTCAATTTTACCCTTGAATTGTCACAGGCATTGGCTGGGCTGTGTTTGTATTTCTTTTCCTACTGCTTTTAGCTAGGCTAATATTACAAGTGTCCAGGTAATAGTGGCTGACGGAAAATAAAGAGTGTAATAGTGGCTCTAGCCTGAACATTCAGGTAGAAAGGCGAAGCATTGTGAATGCTTCTTTTCTGATTGAAAACATTATCTGACTCCGTACTTCATAGAAAAACACTATCTGACTCCGTTAGAAATTTTCAAATGTTATAATGCTTTGTTAGGTTAGCCAGAATGGTTACTCCTTCTATACTCTTTTCTTCAACACAAAATGAGAAAAATCACAAGTCTATTTGGAAATTAAAAACAGAGCAGAATGCTAATGATCTTACTCAACACATAAATTGAAGGGATGGTTATTATTTGCAAAACAATGTCTATGCATCTCATTGTTCAGCGTTAGTCGCTAGTGGTATTGCTGTTTGTTATAGAGCAGCAAGCTACAGTGGCACACACTGTATATAAAGAAATCACATTTTTTGTTAAGTAAATAAGATTTGTATTGGTTAGTTGCACTAAGATGCTGCATAACAGGGTAAGTCAGGAGCCTTACAACGACCAAGCCCCTTGCTGGTCTTATCAGTGAGCTGACGGAGGAATTCCAATAAACTATCTACATCATGTTCATTTTGAAACTTACACGAAAAGGCCAGAAAAGAAAGACTACTGTACTTTAGCTTGTCGATGTTTTCCTTTCTGCCCTCAAACTTCTATGATATCTTCCTTCCAAATTGACCACCATATACATATAGGAATAGTTCTCCAAAACTTCTTCTTTCCTTCCCTAGTTCCTTTCCCAGTCCAGCAAAAAGGAGTTCTTTAGTTGTTCTTGGCATAACCAATTTGACTCCAAAAATAGTGAGGTGCATCTGCCATAGCTTTGTTGCAACTGCAACAGTGTAGAAATAGGTGATTCGCATCTTCTATGTCTCTTTCACACCCGAAGCATCTATTGCTCAGGGTTAAACCTCTGTGCTAGAGGTTAGATTGAGTGAATACAGCTTCATGTGCCATCGTGCAACCGACGTAAGAGACCTTGTAAGGTGCTTTACTTCCATATTTTCTTCATTCACCACCTCTGAAATTTTCTATTGAGCTGGGATAAAGTCTTGTAGCAGGTACTTGCTGTGAAGATGCCATCCTTCTGATGTGTTCAGTGCAAAAGATCCATCATGATGTATTGCATTTGATAGCTGTTCAGTGCTTGTAGGAGTTGAGTTAGTCTCTCTATTTCGTTTCATCTAAAACAGAACTCATGCACCGAGCCACTGTGGTTAGTGGGTCTTGAGCAGAGCTATACAGATCATAGAGTTCTTCCTCCAAAGGTGATTGTCCTATCCATGTATCCTGTCAGTGCCAGAAAGAAGTGTTCCTGCCATCTCCAACTGTTATCATGATGTTGTTGGCAAAAAGACTCTATAGACCTCTGATATGCCTCCTGGATCCATTGCCGTGTGGTCTGCTCACTTCCTTAGTACACTAGTTCTGTTGCTGTCCATACTTTTCAGTAACAGTGTCTTCCAAAGAGCATCTCTGGGGAGGTTGTATCTCCAATGCAAAATTGAGGAGCAAACTCTTGTTGTGTAGCTTTATATATATTACTCCCATGGGTCTATTTACCTTGCTTTTAATAACTGTTTCCCATTTTTCGAAATGAAAAGCTTTCCTTTCCTGTTGCCTCCTTCCCTCAAAGAGAGTCCCTTTTGATTTTGTCTAGCTTCTACATCACTGGTGATGGAACTGTGAAGAGTCACGGTGTATGTTCGAAGGACATCTCGAATACTGTTGATTGACACCATTATTTCCCGAGAGATATGAACTGTTTCTTCCCATTTGACAACTTCTTTCATGTGTGTCCAAAATGCCTTGCCATGTCTCTGTAGCTTCGAATCTGGTTTCAATAGGGCATCTAAGATACATGATCGGTAGAGTTCCTATCTTGCAACCAAGAGTGTCTGCTAATATTGCAACAGAATGAATAGAATTTGCTCCAGTATGTTACGTTTCCCTAGGTTTATGTGTAAAAGCTTCAAAAGGTACTAATGAAAGCATTAACTACACCTGCCTTCCATAAGTTCACAGACAATTTTCTGAAGCCATGTTGCTAGATAACCGTATATCCAAAATTATGACTAAGGTGGTGACAACTGATTTGCTTTTACAGAAAAGTAATGAAGCATTAACTATGTTACTGTTTGAACCAAAACTACACTTTCTGCCTTCCCTAAGTTCAGAGACACTTACTATTACTATATATGCAAAATTATGACTAAGGTGGTAACAACTGATTTGCTTTTCCAAAAGCCGTATTCATTTGGCTCGGCACTTCCATATGGACAAAGAAATGGACAACTGAATGTACTCGATCCTTATAATCTTTCTGATTCACTTAGGTGAATAACAAGTTATCTTCGAAAGAAGTTCTCTTGTAAAATACTCCAAAAATAGGGACTGATAAAGATAGAAAGGCACACAAACACTCATAGGCATATAAACCCCCAACAGAAAATTGGAAAGCTAAACAGAATATACCTGAAAATTGCGTAAATGTAACTTCTCTTTTTTGCCTTCTGTTACATCGGTTCAAGTTCCTCAAATGGTCTCGTTTTCTTGATGTCAATGATTGAGGGAGTTGCCTGAGGCCTGATGGCTGTTTAAAATCCACTAATCCAGTTCAAGTGTTTTGCCTTTAGCATTGCGCCTTATCCTTCCTTAAACAATAATGATAAGAAAGGCGATCAAGGGTCCCCTTGCTCCAATCCTCCATGCATAGGAGAAAAAACCTTCTGGGGACCCTTTAGTGATGACTGAGAACCCGACTGTTGTTGTATGAAACCCAATCCGACTTATCCATTTATCCTGTATTATCAGTTTCAACATGTTGAGGAGAAAACCCAATTTGCAGAGTCAAAAGCTTTTTCCAGGTCTATTTTGCGCAGGAGTACGTTGATTCTCTTTTTTATCTTAGTATCCAGTAGGTGATTTGTAATTAGGATTGTGCCCGTTTTTGTCTGCCGTTGATGAATGCCATTTATGGCTCTGCCACCAGCTCCTTTATCACCTTTTTCAAAGAATCTCTCCAATATGCTGTTTGGTCTGAAATATTTTAGTCCCTTAGCAAGCAACGTGTGGGGCTTTTAGGCTCCTCTGAAAAGATTCATGTTGATGAAAGTTGTTTATGGCACTCATGAGATCTTCATTGATTACTGTCTAGCACTTTGGTAGAATGTTAGAAAGAAATCATTATGGCTTAGGGCCTTGTCGCCAGCACATTCTTTTATTGTCTCTGCTACTTCTTTCTCCGCAAGGGCTTTGCATCCAATTGCTCTGCTATGCTATGATTTGTTGGATGCTATGATCCCGAGAAAGTCTCCGTATCTCGATTTCTTTGTGCAAATTTGTATAGAATTCCAGGATACATGACTTTATCTCATGCTGCTCCTCTGTGACTCCTGTTTCTTTGGTTTTTTTAATCTTGTCAATGTTATATCTCCTTTGGGTATTAGCGTTTCTGTCCCTTGCTTGAGTCACATGCACCTTGACTTTTGTCTCCAGGAGATTTCTTCACATCTAGCAATCTCTTGTAATTCCAGTTCTAAGCAAGTCTTTGCATGAGTTCTTCTTCAGTCATTTCTCTTTCCTCTGCTTCTCTGTTGACTTCTAAGATCTTCCGGAGTATCTTACCCTTTCAATTTTCAGATTCCCATATTTCATTCTTTCATATCTCTCTTTAGAGATGCTGGTTTATTAGCAAATATGAAATCAGGTCTCCCATCGAACAGGTAAGAATCCATGGTTGCTTTACCATCTCCATAAAGCTATCTGCCTTGAGGCGCATATTTTCAAACTTGAAATATGAGCTTCTTGCCTTCTTCTCTCCCACTGTCCGCATTGTAGTAAGATAGAGCTGTGTGATTGAGGATTTCCTCCTGATAGGTAATATCTATGTCTTTATAAACAGGTCTTGAATGCTTGAACTTATTCTAAACAAAACATCTTTTCAAGAGTAAAGGTAAAGGAGATTACGAGTTACCTTGTTGAAAGCCTTATTTATTGCTTAAATTTTCATACATCTGCATCCTCGGCAATCATCATCATTGTGTAATGGATGCAATAACTTTTCTTCTTTCTTTATTTCCTTTTGCTTTTCGTCCTTTTGTTCATTGAAAGTAATTTTTCTCTGATTGCTCTATCTTTTTCCTTTTGCACATTGCAGGACGGTGACCGATATTTCACACTGAATATTGCGATTACAGAAATATTTTTGCAACTAAGTTATGGGTCCAAATTATCTCCTGCATTGTTGGAAAGATTTCTGGAGTTCATCGAGAGTTCTCTATCTGAAAAGGTTTGTGATGTAGAATTTATAAAAATTCAGCACAAAAACATTAAGTTCAGCTGGTTGTAATATTTTGTGCCTATCACTGAGAAGCAAGCCCGTTATTTAGTTTAAAGAAATAGAAAACTTGGGTGTTACATTAGAGAACTAAAGGACAATAGTGTTGATGTGGGGTTAATATAGGATATAATTTGAATGATAATGATGTTCCAGGTTCTGTTAGAGTTTGGACAGCTCGTAGAACCCAGATACAGAGGGCAGATCAGCAGGGGATAAGAGAATCAAGACCGACAAAACACATGAGAAGAAGCAGAAGAAAAATACAGGAAACAGATCACGTAATATTTCTGAAATATTTTTTTGGCTCAGGTCAACTGAAAAACAAAGCATTATATGCTTCATAAAGGAAAATTGAGGGAATAATAGCTTGGAAATTAAAAGGGAATGAGGTAGATCTAAACTCACATGGAAGGGGGTTATTTCAAAGGACCTATAATAAAAGACCTACAATCTTAGCTTAAAAAAAGAAAGAAATATCCGGAAAAAAAAGGGAAGCAAAGAATCCATAAGAATGTCATGAACTAGTAGGGATTATGGTTTAGTTGTTGTTGCGTTGAAATTAGGTTCAGGTGGGTATAAGTGTGGGATTTAAAGTTTTTAGATGATTTATAAATTGCTTTAAAGACAATTACTTTATCAATATTGGAATTAGTGGGCCTGAGTAGAGTGGAATATATAAAGGATTCGTATTGCCTACCTCAATTAGTTTGGAATTGAGGCCTAGTGGATTGACTCACTGATTGATTGATAGCTTGGTAATTAAAAGCTGTGAACCTGTAAAAGATTAAGAATTTGGACAGTGAAAGGTGCAAAAGTAACAGAGGAATGGGAGTGCGTTTACTGAAGTTACTTCATAACTATATCATCTCGAGGAATAAAGACTCGTCCATAATTGTAATTGAGTAAAATAAACAGAATGTTTAATGATGAGATACTGAGTGCAGTTCATAAAATAAAATCGTGAAGCATCACTTAACCAATCGAACCTGTAAAATCATAATATTTCCGTGTTGGAGTACTTTATGGCTTCACAGCGATTTATTTGCAGTCAGAAACAGCTCTTTGCAATATGTAAACAAAGTTATGTACTAATATGACCAGATGTCAGTTTGCCAGTAGCTGTATTTAAATCCATCCCACCCTATGTCTTTAACTTGGCTGAGAGCAGAGTACAAGAACGGTTTTTCACTTCCTAAAATTACAAATATTTCCTTCTATCAGAAAGGGCATTTTCAATTTTATATTATTAAGAAGATGGTAGAAGAAGATCTTCTTTTATATGCTCAGATTATATTAAATAATCTTCTTACTTTTGAACACATGCACATTTGAGTAAGAAAAATTGTAGGAGCTTTTTATCTTGCTGAGTGTGGTGGCTCCCTTTAATGCTCAATCAAGATCTGGGTGGTTTGGTTTCTAGAGACTAATAGGAGTGTTTACATACGTATAAGTAAGCCCTTTACTCTGTATGCAGAGAACCATAGATAGATATCTTGCTTCAAGGTTAACAGGTGTAATTTTAGGTCTTTCAGGAAAAACTCAACAAGCTTAGAAGCAATTTCTGTTTTTTTTTTGATAAGGTAAATTGTATTAATCAAAAGGGAGAGAACTCCCGTATACAGGAAGTATACCAAAAAGTAGAGAATTTATATCAGAACATGATTCTCTATTCTTCTATACAAATAGGGGCTATATGAGTGCACCGAAAAACGATCAAAGATAAAAGACTATTCTTAAGATGTGAAAAAGGAGACTCAATCACCTTAAAAGCTCTCCTATTTCTCCCCCCCAAAACTATCCAGATGAGAGCTAACGGGGCGAACTTTCATGCCTTTTGCTTTCTTCTTCTACGAAAACCGGCCCAGCTATATAACATTTCCTTTACAGAAGCAATTTTTGTAAGAGCATGTTAGATGGAACTAATTAAGAAAAATTGTTCCCGACATTGTTCAATCATTGTCAGTGTCTCTTCAATGTTTGCTAGGTTTGCAGCTTACCTCCTGACTGTGGTGAAAAGTTGTCTGCACTCTGTTCTCCTTCGTTGCTGAACTCAGTGAGCTTGTTTTACTTGCCCCTGTCTATCAAAAAGAAAGAATAAAATGTTTACATGAATTAATGATACTTAAGTCACATTTTTCTAACACTTTAGTAATGTAATGCAGGTAAATCCACTGACAATAGCCCTTCACAACAGGAAAGAATAAATAAACTAGCTTTGGCCATAAAATTAATGCACAATGGGTAGAGCTTGAGATAAAAATCTGAACTTTAATCATTATTGCTTACTTATTAGAGAAAAGGCATAAGTTGCCCCTTAAACTTGTCCGGCATAATAATTTACTCACTTTAACTTTACGGGCGACCCATCACCCCACTATTCTTGTTTGAAGCGAATTTATTTACCCCCTAATATGTCACAACCATATCCGATCAAAACTGTATTTTACACACGCTTACACGTGTCGTTACCATATTTTTTCCTTTTTAATTTTTTTTTCACTAGAATGAACCCTTCCCCTCGCTCCACCCCATTTTTTTCCTCTTTTCTTCCTCCCGGCTTTTGTTCCCCCCTTGAGTAGACTACTCGAAATAATATAAAAAATAATGGAAGAATTTGGAAATTAGCTACATCTAATTAAGAACCCGTAAACTATTTGTCAAGCCTATTGGATTTTATAAAAAAAGTTCATATGCTGGTGATTAGAATGGAAAATGCCATGTTATTGTTCTTTATAGCTTCTCATGTTCTATGCCATGATTAATCTTTGGAGATTGTCTTTGGAATTAAATGTCAGATTTGAATGGCATATTTTAGCTAAATCTTTTTAGGTTGAATGTTGCAGTAATTTTTGGAATTTGGGTATGGAGAGAAATGAGGGAGACTGGCAGCGAAAGGGCCAACGATGGAAATGAGAATGTAGGTTGTTGGTGGAGTTTGGAATTTTAGTTGATGGAGAGGTTTATGTGAGGTGATGGAGATGATGAAAATGGGAGCGAAAGAGGTCGGGTGGTGACAATGATTTTCCGGCCAAACACCGGCCAAATCTTGGTCGGACAGTTATGGTGGTTTCGCCATTGAGGACCAGAGACCTTAAGATTAAGGAGAACAGAAAAAGAAGAAAAGGACAAAAGAAAAAAGAGAGTAAAGAATAAGAAAAAATAAAATATGCAAAATTATTAAGGATCAGTAATTAAGTATAATTAGCTAACAACACTCAATTGAAGTATGACACGTGTACAGATTAGTTAGTTTTTCACAGTTTCTTTCTTTCACGCGCCTATGGGAATGTGAAGACACATTCTTTGCCTAGTCACCTTTTAGGCGGTAAATAAATTCGCTTCAGACAAGAATAGTGGGGTGATGGGTCGCCCGTAAAGCTAAAGTGTGTAAATGACTTTGCCGGACAAGTTTAAGGGGCAACTTATGCCATTTCTCTACTTATTAAGCTCAAAGATAAATTCTTAGAAAGCTCAAAGCTAGATTTTAGGAGTTAAGTGGTTTTACCCCAAAAAGCTTCGAATCTTTGAAAATTTATGCTTTACTTTTTTCCAGTTTTCTCTCTCCTGTTTATTCAAGTTGTCTCTTTAGATGAGTATGTGTGTCTTAGCCCTAAATCCTGATGGTGTGCTGTAATAGAATGCCTACCACGCTGCAGATTTGCAATGGCAGAGAGGCCGGTAAAGTTCATCATGAGAAGCATTTAGTTCCACTGGTTGCTTTTACCCCAAAACTTATTATGCAAGTGTCTGGTACTTGGAAGTCTTTGATCAATGATGGTGCTTGGAAGTCTCGTATCCTTCAGGTTTGCACAATAAACTGAAAACCTATATTTCAACTCACGTGTCTCTGTAGTAACTTCTTCAATTTGTTTTTCTTGATTTATGGTTCAGTCTTGTCAAATTTCAAACAACTGTAATTTTCAGTTTTAGTATCACATATTAGAGATATTGAAAAAAATATTATGATGTGGGATATCTCTATATTCTGTAGGCATGTCCTCTATTATTATCTGTATTTAGACCCTAGAATTATGATCCCCTTTTGATTTGTTTTTCATGTGTTAAATGCTGCCAGTTTTTGTAGTAGTATTAAAATTTTCACTTGATTGCAGGCTTTCACGACAGTTTTGCAGAAATGCAGTCCAGAGTCCTCAATGAAATTGGTTTGCCTTTCTGCTATTGAGGAAATGCTACTTCCTGTAAGATTCCTATCAAATGAATGCACATTTTTCATATTCCTAGCATGCCATTGGAGTGTTCACATTTTTATTCATGATAACTCCTTGCAGAGGCATATCCAGTATTTTAAGATCATGGGTGCACCTATGATTTTGACATAAAATTAATACTTGTCATAATGCGAGTGACGTAAATTTTTTTTTGATATTTTATGACTTATTTTTATTTTTAGAAAACATTATTCAAAGAGATAATTAACCATAATCTTAGTAAACTAAATTTATTTTTCATTAATATTATCAATTATAATTTGTACAAATATTAATGCCGTTAAAATTAGAAACCTATGCAAGTTTTAGGATAAAAAGAAGCACGAAAAGATCAAAACGCTTTGGAGCATATGATTACGTCTTTTAAGTGAATTGCTTACCAAAAAAGAAAACTGCATTTCGTTCTAAGAGAAATTGGAATAAAAATAATTAAGCAAGTTTCTTTGTATAACTTATAATAGATCTTACACTCGCATAAATTATTTATTTTTTTAATTAATTAATAGTTTAACAAAATTTATGTAGTAGTTTAAAGTTCATATCGATCTTGACAGCTTTGACAGAGATGCTCCCAGACACAACTCCCGAGGCATCTCTGTACCATGAATCTTAGGGTTCTACCACCACCCGCAGATAGCCACCCCCATCGCAACCAAAACCCAGCAAAAACCTCCGACCAAGGGCCACCCACGCGCCCTCACGCGCAGCCCACTTCCAGCGACCACTCCGCCATGCGCCGATGCGTGAGGAATATTCCGGCCAGATCCCGACCGGCCGCCTTTAGACAGCCTGTTCAAGAGGCTATTTCGAGCCTACCCATCAAACTTTCTCCAAATCCGACGACTTTCTCTATTTTCCGACGACGGGGAGGTTTTTTCTGACCTGATTTCAAATTTTCTTCTTCAGTCAGCCTCAACGCGAGCTCTTCGGGATGACCACTTTTAGAAATGGTGGACTCTTCAGAGAGAAACTCATACTTCTCTCTAGAATCTAGAAAACTGAAAAAAATGTCTTATATCAAAGCTGCCTCTTGGTCAACCCTAGAACTTGAGGGAAGATGTCATCGAAAGCTCGACGTAGGGCAGGAGCCCCACTTCTTGCTGTCTGAGGAGCACACTCTCAGGCGCAAGGGTTTCTTGAAATCTTGTCTGATTGGATATTTCTCCAAATGGGTTGGTTCTCCAGAGGCTGTTAGGAATTGGGCTGCAGATGCATGGAATATCAATGACGGGCTGAAAATAACGCAACTGGGGGATACGAAATATCTCTTTCGATTTCTTGACGAGTCTCAAGCTTCAGAAATTCTTGTTAGAGGAAACAGATGGTTTGATGAGAACTTTTTACATCTAGACAGATGGGTGGAGCACGATGGGTGTCTCGACCGTCGTTTCACCGGCGAAACATTGGTAGTCAACATGGTGGGTCTCCCGGTGCATCTTTGGTGCCTTGACCTCTTCAAGAAGTTTGGGGAAAATGGGGGCTTTATTGATGTCACTTGCAGCCTACATGATCTATCGCGAGTGAGGATTGTGGTGAGGAAAGGGGGCAGAATCTCTGTCTCCATTGTGGTGGAAGATGGCTACCTGAGTTATAGGGTGTGGCTGAGCCCTGAATTTTACCCTATCTTTATGCCCGTGATAGTGGCAGAAGAAAAGGGAAGGTCAAATAGAAGGGAGGGGAGGGGAAATAAGTCTCTGAGGGGAGGGGAGGGCTCACCGGATCAGTGGTCTAAGCCAGAATCAGATGTTAGATCGAGAAGAGACGAGAGGTTTGAATTTGGGAGAAGAAGACAAAATTTCAACAGGAGGGAAAGACGTGAATGGGTTAGTGATGCGGGCTGAAAAGCTAGAATGGGCCGGTCATCTTCTAATTATCCTAGGGCCAGGCAAGTTTTCAGCAAGTATAGGCTTAGGCCTTCTCACATGGGCCCAGTTACTTTTCCCAATTCTATTAGAATTGATCCTATGGGGCCTAGATTATTTCAAGTTGCGTCTGTTAAGGCTCCTAAGCATATGGAAACAGTCGTTCTTCCTTCTTCTGCCAATGGTGCTACACACAGTGGCATTTCTGCATCGAGCTCTAGTGACCTTCGCCCTTCTTCGATGGCCGCTGCTTCAGGGGCGGCACCGGCTATAGATAGTGCTGTTATTCCACGGCCTCCCGCCTCTGATGGACCCAGCTCCATCGCCCCCTCATCTGCTCCTGGGCTTAGTTGGGTTGAGGCTACACTTCAAGCTTTTTCTTCTTCTGGGAAGATCGTTGAGCATGCCCCATCTGATGTTAGTGTCAGACCAGTATTTCCAGTTAAGATGCCGCCAAGGGCTCCATGCTCTCCTCCTTCCTGCTACTTTACTGGTGTTCCTGGTCATTCATGTAGCAGCGGGGTGCTAATTTCAGAGATTGATACCCCTCAAGGAAATGGCGAGATCCTTTCGGCACCTAATGTTCCTATTGCTAGCAATGCTATGGTCTTGTATTCCTCCGGTAGGGGCAAGGAAAGGATACATATAGAAGATGCATGGTAGAAATTATCAAGAACTCCTCATGGGTGCACCTATGATTTTGACAAAAAAGGATATGCCTTTCTGGATGGAGGATAAACTATTAAACTTTGGGAAGTTTCTTGGTGTTTCTTTTGAAGGGAAGGAAGATAGGGTGTTAGAACTGTTGAGGGAGATTGAGCAACAATCTTGTTATGATGGTGCAGGGAAGGAGTTGGGTCAAGGTGTTAAGCAAAATAATTTAGGGTTTGTAGTGGTGTACCAGAGAAGGGGCCGGGTGTGTGACAGGAGGAAGGGAGCTCGGTTAGAGGGGGTGGGGAGAAGGGGGATATTGTTTCTTATGGAAGTTAAGATTCTTTCATGGAATGTGAGGGGATGAATGATTCAAACAAAAGGGCCATCATCAAAGTGGGAGTTAGAGAGTGGGGTGCTAACCTAGTCTGCTTTCAGGAGACAAAAATGGATGTTTTGTCGGATGTGATTGTGAGGAGTGTCTGGGGAGTTAGTTGGGTAAAATATGACCGGGTTCCAGCAGTGGGAAGTGCCGGTGGCATTCTTCTAATTTGGGATGATAGAAGCTTGGAGGTAAAGGATATTAAGAAGGGAGTTTTTTCTTTAGCAGCTCTTGTCAAAGATAGAGTGAGTGGGGTGGAGTGGGGATTTGGGGGGTGTACAGACCGTTAGGAGAAGGGTCCAAGGTGATTTTCTTGGAGGAACTGGCCAATATGATGGGGGAATGGGACATTCCATGGGTTCTGGGGGGAGACTTTAACACTATTAGATTCCCGGAGGAGAGATTAGGATGTAGTATGTTTTCGAGGGCCATGGAGGAGTTTTCTAACTTCATCAATGATCACTTTCTCATTGATCTTCCTCTGTCCGGGGAAAGGTTTACTTGGGCCAGGACGGAGGATTCCAACTCAAGATCTAGACTCGGTAGATTTCTAATATCGCCCTCCTTGGATGAGTTGGTGCCGAATGTGCTGCAGATTCCTTTACCTAGGCTGACTTCGGATCATTTGCCTGTCTTGCTAGATGGATGCAGAGGGAGGGGGGTTCGTGCTCCCTTCCGATTCGAGAACATGTGGTTGAAGGTGCCAGGATTTGGTGACAATGTGAAAGAATGGTGGACAAGCTATGGGGTATCAGGGACACCTTCATTCCGTCTTTCGAAGAAACTTAAATTGCTCAAGGGAGATATTATTAGGTGGAATAAGGAGGTTTTTGGGAGGGTAGAGGTTAAAATGAGGGAGCTTATGCATGAATTAGGGGACCTAGAGAGAGGGGAAGGGGCGAGGGAGTTAGATGAATCTGAGAAAGAGAGATTGAGGGAGGTTAAGAGGGAAATAGTCGAGTTAGCTATAGCTACGGAGACTAGTTGGCGGCAAAAATCGAGGCCGCTATGGTTAAAGGGAGGGGATTCGAATACCAAATTTTTTCATAGGGTGGCGGTTGCAAATCGAAGGAGGAACTTCATAGAGTCCTTAGTTGTGGATGGGGTGAGGATTGAGGGAGAGGAGGAGGTAAAAGGGGCGATAGTGGGGTTTTATGAGAACTTATACAAAGAGGAAGTTAGTTGGAGGCTGACTTTGGGGGGAATAGAGTTCAACCACATAGGGGAGGGAGACAGTGAGTGGCTAGAAAGGGCTTTCGAGGAGGAGGAGGTGCACGAGGCTGTGTCGAGTTGTGCTGGTGATAAGGCCCCCGGCCCTGATGGTTTCTCCTTGGCCTTCTTCCAGCTCTGTTGGGACACCATCAAAGGGAAGTTGATGGAAGCCATTGAATACTTCCCATGTGAATGGTGTTTTTGAGAGAAGTATCAATGCTTCTTTTATTACTATTGTGCCTAAGAAAGGTGCATTTTCTATCAGTGACTACAGGCCTATAAGTCTCGTGTGGAGCATTTACAAGATTATTTGTAAAGTGCTTTCCAATAGACTCAAGAAGGTTTTTGACGTGTCTGTTTCGTCCTCCCAAAATGCGTTTGTGGAAGGTAGGCAGATCCTGGATGCCGCTTTGGTGGCAAATGAACTTGTAGACTCCAGAAGGAAAAATAGAGATCCCGGCTTACTATGCAAGTTGGACCTTGAGAAGGCTTTCGACCATGTCAATTGGGAGTTCCTGGATTTCATTATGATGCGGATGGGGTTTGGGGCAAGATGGAGGGGATGGATCAAGTTCTGCATTTCCTCAGTCAGATTCTCTGTCCTGGTTAATGGTAGCCCGTGTGGTTTCTTTAGCAGCTCCAGCGGTCTCAGGCAAGGAGACCCCCTATCCCCCATGCTATTCATTCTAGTGATGGATGCTTTGAGTAAAATGATGGATCGAGCGGCGGGCGGAGGCTTCTCGAGAGGATTCTCAGCTCCAATCGGGGTGCCCAGTGCCCGAAGAGTCTCTCATTTGCTTTTTGCGGATGACACCCTGGTTTTCTGTGTTGCCGATATGGATCAGTTGACCTACCTGAAGCAGGTCTTGCAGTGGTTTCAGATAGTATCAGGTCTCAAAATCAACCTCGGCAGGTGTGAGATTTTTCCGGTGGGTGAGGTTGCTAACATCGATGCTTTGTCTTATGTTCTCATATGTAAGGTGGGCTCCCTTCCCACTAATTACCTGGGTCGCTTCGCATAAGGATACTACGGTTTGGAATCCAGTGATCAAAAGGGTTGAAAAAAGATTAGCAGGCTGGCAGAAACGATACTTGTCAATAGGCGTAAAGTCCTTTTACCAGAGTATATTGGTGAGAGAGGATGCCTCTTTTCCATACTCCTCGATCTGGATTCCTAAGGCGCCCACGAAGGTGTGCTTTTTTGCATGGCTAGCGGCTAGGGGAGTGATTTTGACTGCTTAGAATCTGCAAAAGAGGGGAATTACACTTGTTAGTTGGTGGTATATGTGTAAAAGCTCAGGGGAAGAAGTTGATCATCTTTTGTTGCATTGCCCTGTGTCCTCGGCTTTGTGGAGGGCGACCCTGAACCTTTTTGGTGTTCAATGGGTGATGCCAAGCACTGTAAAGGAAATGCTATATAGCTGGGCCGGTTTCCGTAGAAGAAGAAAGCAAAAGGCGTGGAAGTTCGCCCCCTTAGCTCTCATGTGGATAGTTTGGGGGGAGAGAAATAAGAGAGCTTTTGAGGGGATTGAGTCTCCTTTTTCACATCTTAAGAATAGTCTTTTATCTTTGATCGCTTTTTGGTGTACTCATATAGCCCCTATTTGTATAGAAGATTGGGCGTCTTTTGTAGAGAATCATGTTCTGATGTAAATTCTCTACTTTTTGGTATACTTCTTGTATACGGGAGTTCTCTCCCTTTTGATTAATACAATTTACCTTATTAAAAAAAAAAAGTAGTTTAAAATAAAAATAAATCTTAATTAGAAGTAATCAATAGCTAATCTCTAAATTCTTAAGCTATTGTATACCATAAAGCCTTGAAGAATTAATCAGCTTGGATGCAATCAAGGAGAGAATCAGTAAAAATAATAAGAAAAGGCAAAAGAAAAAAAAAAGAATGGAAAATAGAAGAAAAACCGAGCAAAAAACTTAATAGCACATGTGACCATAGGTGTTAAACTGAGGCACCAAATGTCAAATTTGACCATGGGTGCCTTCTGCCCTATATAGCAAAATATGGAAAATTTTACTCTAAAATATATTTTTATTTGTAAGTAGGATGGGTTCACAGGCCCCAAAATTCTTAATGTGGATACGCCCCTGACTCCTTGTTTTTAATTGAAGGGCGAACTCCTTTTGTCTGGTTGCTATTATTTGTTTAATTGAAGGAAAAGCCCTGTATTAGCAGTCATCAGAATGAGTAACTGGATTAGCTTTTGTTGCTAGGCAATTAGCACAATGTTGATGTGCCTGTATGCTTTCTTCGTTGAATCTAATGTCAAATTTCGTGTGATTGTAGGAGCAGGATTGGCTTTATCTGGATCCTAAGGATCTTGAAATATTTAATCATCAAACTGCATGGATAAGGGAGCTTCCAAAGCTGTTAGTCCTCTTAGGTGATAAACACCCATTACATGCAAAGGTACCTACTTAGCTACCACCATACTGGTCTTACTCTAGATGAAATTTATGGCATATGCATATCCATTTGCTCTACAAGTTTTCATATTTAGCTGAACCATCATCTTTGTCTCCCCCATAATTGCCTCTTGTAGGCTGTGTTACGTCTTCAACTTCGTCTTGGACAAGCTGCTAGTTTGAATGGTCCACTGGCAAAAGAATATGACAATATGCAGCACATAATACGAGATTTTTACTGCACCTGCCTCAATGGTACTTAAGATTCATTCTGATATTCCATATTTTATTTCTTTCATATTTCTTAATCTCACATTATTAATTCCTCACATGCTAACCCTTTTTCTTGCACTGTAGGAACTGTAAGCTATGGTCCGTTCATGAGGCTTCCTAGAGATATTCAGGAGCTCTCAATATGCTGCCTATATTACTTTTCTTTCTTGGACACTGTGCTACTTCAACCTTTAGTCTCATGTTGCATATGTAAGTTTAACTCCTCGACATCACTGATTTTTATCTTTATAACTAGATGAAAATGCCAAGGTCTTTTACAGAACTAACTGGCGCTCAAATTGTGAATTGTTTGAAGTGTGTGACCATCTAATCTAAAAGTATATGTTTAAGCTCTTAGAGAGAGCACACTATACATAATTATCTCTTCAACACGCCCCCTCACTTGCGAGCCTGATTCTTTTTCGTGGGTCAAGCACGCGGAAAATCTTTTTGATAATGGGTGGCGGTGAGACTTGAATCCATGAATTTTGCCTACTCTGGTACCATGTTAAATAGAAAAAAAATAACTTCTCATTGACTTTGTATGGTTAGGTATACCATTTGAGCCATGCTGGCACTGGGATTTTCCCATTTGGCTAGTGTTTCCATGTTGATTGTCAACCCAATTTCAGATCAAGATTATGACCCGTGCTCCCATATCAGCAACACAACTTAATATCCCTTCCTATGTTCTTAGCTCAACACTGGTGACTGCCTCCCTCCCCTTGCATTTTATAGCAGCCTTGTCATATGCCTTGCAGCTTCTATCTCATTCTCAAGTCTCAAGTAGTCCAAGATAGATTACTTCTTCCCAAGAAGCTGCCCCATCGATGCGTCCCATCATCCACATTTATGCAGTGTGACTCCCCCTGTATTCGAACTTCCTCTGGAGAAATCAATGCTCTATCGACGAAGTCTGTGCACAAACTTTTTTTTGGTGAAGTTCTTTATCTGCTGCAGATCTTCATAATCACTGATGTAAAATTGATATCTACATCAAGTCTTGGAATTTAATTGCAGCACGGTCAGATGCGCTAGCTGCAGCATATGCAATGTTAAATCCTCCAAGTAAACTTGTTTTCCACAATCTTAGATGTGGAATTTCTATGTTCCAGTCCTTCGATAGAATGAAAAACTCCATGATATTGAGAACTTCTTTCACCTGTAATCTCTGCTGCGGAGATATAGTGCTCACTGCTCGTAGGAAGCATCGTAATTAGCTGAGAGATCCAACCACTGCTGCTGCAGAAACTCAGTCTCTCCACCCACCAATGGAAACAACTCCTTTGTAACAAACCACCACGATTCCCAGTCCCTTCACTCCCTTGCCTATCGGCTTTCAGTATATCAAATGCATAGCCATCACAACAATGATCCAGGCATGATTATTCATCGTCACCAGCTGTACTGGTCGTTTCAATGTTAATAATGGAGGAATTGGAGGTCCTAGAATTCTCCATTTGGATGAGTGATTGTTCGTTGAGCTTCTTTGACGCCATTTTCCCTGTAAGGGAGATGAATTTTACTGGAACATCTTGAAAACTAAGATTAAGGTCAAACATCTCAAATATCCACTAAAGTATGTCCAAATGGGCAACACAAAATGATGGAATTATAGAATAAGAAAATCAAGAATGCAAAAGAGCAATCAAAGTATGGGGAATTTAAGTTGATTATCAGGGGTATAGAAAAATGGCAAGTGGGTTGGGGGTGGGAGAAACAAGGAGGGTATCAAGGAAAAAGGAACTTTATCATACGCGCTACACAAACACATTCCTTGTGTATGTCCACATCCAAATATATATAGTGAGAGGACAATGATGAAATAAGAATTACATTAGTTTTTGGACAAAGAAGGATGAACGGAAAGGGGGTAGCCAGCTATGGTGGGAGGCAGTCACCAAAAAGAAGAATAAAAAAAGAACACATTGGGCTTGCGGGCGGCACACATTGGCAGGTACTGCCCGCCGGTCGTGGAAGCTACTTGAGTCTCTACCAAGATGATAGAGGCTTCAATGGCATATTGAATTGTTTGAAGTATGTGAGCATCTCATCTAAAAGTTTAAGTTGTTAACAAAAGCATACTTTAATATACTTAAATATGTCCTAAACAAAAATATTGCATTGTTTTGCTTAGTTAAACAGTGGCCCTGGAAACTTATTTGGAGAACTAATGTACCTACTAATGTAGCTTGTTTCAGTTGGCTGGCAGCTTTAAGAGCTTGCTTGACACAAGAAAATTTAATGAGGAGTACGTTTGTGCAATAGATGTTATCTATGTAAAAATGAATGTGAGAGTACAGATCATCTATTTTTGCATTTTACAGTGGTTAAAGATATATGGGATATGTTCTACAATCTTGTTGGTATAATTTGGGTTATGCCAAGGACCTTGAAAGAAACATTTTGTCATTTGGAACAGTGCAAGAGTTGGGAATCTATCAAGAAGTTCTGGAAAATGATCCACCAATGTATCATTTGGAGTATTTGGAAGGATTGGACTCAGAGATGTTTTGATGGAAAAACAACTCCCCTAAAAATCCCGAAATTTAGATGTTTGCTTAATCTTTTTGCTGGGTGGAACCATTTTGATGTAGATTATCCTATTTTATTTCTTGATTTTGTAAGCTCCCTGAGTAGTTAGGTGGATATGATTGTATGTTCTGCAGGGAGATTTATCTCTTTTGTGATCAGTTTCTACATCCTCTAGATGCTTCTATTAACGAAATATTACTTTACCTGATTAAAAAAAAAGAGCATGGAGGTGGGAACTAGAAACTAGAAAATAGAAAAAAGGCCCATTAAAGGCGAATGCTTGAAGCAGCACACGTAGATGAAATGGTGATAGAGGAAGGGATGGATAGTTGGTTGAGATGAAGTTAAAGTGTTGGCTAATGCATAGACAACCCCTTAAAGTTGGCGCCAATTTTCATTTTGACACCTCAACTGACCCTTGTACCTATTAGACAATCCAACACTCGATCAGATTGTGCCTATTGAACAGTTAGTCTCAATCTCTCTTCAAAATGAAGCTCGTGATTCCAAGCGCACTGACATGGAAATGCCCAAATCGATGGGTGATACGTGTAAATTAACACAACAAATTTTTTTTAACGGAGAGACAAATGGGAAGAAAAACAAAGAAAGACAAAGAAAAGGCTTTTAAGCTAAAAAAGAACATTATTATCTGATAGTCCCTTCCGACCTTCCCTCCGTCTGTCATCCTTTCCCCCTCCCTTCTATTTGTCGGCCCTTCATATTCTTTTTTCTTTCTTTCTGTTTTCCTTTTTTTTCTTTTTCTTCTATCTTCCCTACAGAGGCCTCTACCGCCACCTTGCACCGATTGCGTGTTGGTTACCATTGATGATTTACCCCTCCCTTCTATTTGTTGGCCCTTCATATTTTTTTTCTTTCTTTCTGTTTTCCTTTTTTTTCTTTTTCTTCTATCTTCCCTACAGAGGCCTCTACCGCCACCTTGCACCGATTGCGTGTTGGTTACCATTGATGATTTACCCCTCCATTTTTATCTCCCACAAGCTCCAAAAGAAAAATTCTGCTCAGCCAAAGTCCATTCACACCGGAAAACAGAGAGCTGCAACTTGCTTCTCAATAAAAAATGCGCAACTGGATCACTCCATGCCTCCATTGTTGGCATCTTAATTACTACCACTGCACAGTATGCATACATAAACTCCTTTAACATTATTTCTTTTCACTGTCAAATCTAGGAGTGTTGATTTCTTTCTTATCATTTTTGTCAAGTTTATTAATTTCCACTTTGAATTAGGCTCCTACGACAGCTGAAACGAAGAACTTGAGATATGGAAAAGATATAATTGAAGGATCTGAGAATGAATTAGTTGCTCACTGGGTTGGATTTAGATCTAAATATGAAGATGACACTCGTTTAGTGGCTGGTGATGAGGGTGTCAGCTCTGCGCCTGATTTTTCAATGGCAGTTAGCTATGGTGTTTGAAATTTTGTGGTACTTTGTAGATGATTCGTAGATGAAGAAGAAATGGGTTGCTGTGTGGAGAGAAACGGCACAAATGGAATTTTTCACTAACTTAAATGGGTGGAGCAAAAGAGGTTTAATGGGTGGCAAGTTGGCGGTGGCGGGAGAAAGTAGGAGGAAGGGGAAGGTGGAGGTGGTGGCCGGGAGAGAGAAAGAGGCAGAAGAAAGAAAGAAAATTAAAAAGATAATTTTTTTTGGCTTTTCACGCTCTCAAAGGTGTGTTACATTCATTGTGCCATCTCAATAGTTTGTGTCTAATAGGTACAATTAAGTTTAGATCAAGTATGCAATAGGAGATAGTCTCAGTTGAGGTGTCAAAAGGGCAAAATATGAAGAGCCGTCTGTGTATTTGGCCAAAAAATATGTGTGATTCCACTTGAATATTTTGATCTAAGTTGCTTGGACACGGGTGCGGATCTAGAGGTCGGATCCTTCGAGATGTAAATTCGAAGATTCAGGGATACGAATCCTAGTATGGATACGGGTGCGGGGAACCGGCTAAACATAATTAAAAAAAATTAAAATATAAATTCTTCACGACTATTTCCATCTCTTATCTTCAAGTGGAAGCTCAAGCATTCCTTTTCAGTCAACCTAATCTGTCTATTTCCTACCGACCGTTGTCTCCAATCCACGTTCTCATCACAAGTGTTGATAATATTGTATTATGTCATCGTGTGTTTCATCTTCTTCCCCCAGAATATGGCCATCGATTTGTAGCCTTTTTTATGGAGTATGTTAGTGCATATAACCAGAAGATTTTTTTTTAAAGGTTTTCGTTGATCTCCTCGTAATCTTATAATGGATTTTCATGAGTGTTACCAATGCGTTAGTGTGTCAGTATACTGTAAATTTGGACCTGAGTTTATAAGAGTTTGGTCCATGTTCTTTCAGGCCGTGGTGGTTCTAAACTACTTCTAATGAAAGACCTTATGGTTTGATTTGGTTCAAACAAATCTTAAATAAACGTTCTCTTGTATCAGGAGAAAATGATATAACTTTAATAAATAAATGGAGTTTCTCTTTAGTACTTATCTAAAAGCATAGTTACTAAAGATGTTGTGTCAAGATATAATTGAGGAAGCACAAATAGATATCATTTTGCTTTTTCTCTCTTGTATGAGTACTAGCAGTCATCCTCATGATATTATTTCGTCTATGTGCTTTTAATGCAGGTCACGAGTTGGAACCATTTATCCTTTTCCGAATCATAGAAGTTCTGCACTCATCCTACAAAGCTGGCCATATCCAGATTGCAGATTATATTAGCTTCTTCATCACTTTGCTTTCACGCTTTCAAGTTTATCCTGGTTTTTCTCTATTCTAGTACTTTAAGACTTAAGTACATACATATACCAGCCCCCCCGCTGTTTCAAATTCGGAATCATGTTAGGTGTATCTCTGATTGTTTTATGTGTGTGTGTGTGTGTGTGTGTGTGTTTGTCTTTGTGTTGTTTCTATTAGTGTAAATCTGGTGGAGCCAAAAATAAAGTCCGATGTGCTGTTTGATCTAACTGGTGCTCCTTACTATGCATGGAAGCACAAAGTTCTTAAAGGAATCAAGTTTTTCCGGAATGATTTATTCTGTTGGACCAATTGAACATGTGATTTCTCTGTTGTAGGAAAAGAAGCATTCTCTTTCTTGCTTGCAACCAAACTAAAGTGTAGAGGCCTTTCCTGTTTCAATACATCTCCTCTAGTTTAATATAACAATAGAAGTGACAAGCCTAGCTTCCTTTGTTAAATAGTTTTACAGTAAATAATGTTTCTATAAGTACCATGTTATATTTCCCCCTAATGTTTGACATTATATGTGATCTGCATAATAACTAAGGTTTTGACAAAAATTGCTAAATTAACTATTCCTTCTTTGATATTATAAAATGTATCTTTAACACAGTATCTTTGAATTTGCTATTGAAGATGATTGTAAGAATGAAAAGGGGTATATTCCTCCACATTATTTTGCGATTTGTAGTTGACGCTTATGGTGTTTATAGCTAATGGTTAATTTAAATTATTGACAACTGAATCATATATAAACAAAATTTATCGGAAAAGGGTCTGATTGCCCCTCTACTTTCATTTATTGTTCAATCCTACCCCCATTATACTTTCGGTTCAGATATACCCTTGTTCTATATTTGGCCCTATTTTAACGGCAAAGACACGTGGCGCCTTCTGAGAAATTGAACCAACCCAACATTTAAAAAAAAAAACCAACTCGACTTGTTACCCATAGTCTGTGCGACCCTATTCCCCTCTTACTCTTCTTAAACCCCTATGGCATACCCCAATGCTTCCAGACCATATCAGTTTTTCCCCTTGGTGAGAAGGCTTCAATAATGGACCCTTTTTCACATTCCATGAACCAAGCAACGCATCTGAACCGCATATCAGAAGGTGTTGCCCCCACTGTGTATAATATGGGATTCAAAACTCACCTTCCTTAGACTTCAAAGGCTTGTTCCCAGAAAACAACCCCAAATTCTCCATCTTAAATTGAAGTGGAACTCCTCAAAATCTAGCAAAACCAATTAATTAGCACGTGAAAATTCTACATATAATTCAAGAACAATGTCAACAGCTCTCAGAGGAGAGATTCAAATTTGCATAAATGATAACCATATAGTGCTTTTCCAATCATATCTCCCCTGTTTTCACCTCAGCAAAAACAGAGCTTTCTATTTCCAATCATTGACTCTCAGATTCTCCCACGTCGTACAAACCAATTTCCCATTACTTCAGTGATTCCCAGATTCAAAACAAACTCAGACACTAATCTCAGCCCAACTTCCGACAGCTCTGTTAGTTCCACTCAACTATTTCAACAGATACAACAAGTAGTAATAATTACGAACAACAACAACAAACCCAGTATATTCCCACTAGTAGTAATAATTACAAAAATAAGAAGAATTACAAAGGAGTAAGCAGAAGGCCATGGGGTAAATTTGCAGCAGAGATAAGAGATCCTAATAAGAAAGGGTCGAGGATTTGGTTAGGAACTTTTGATGCTGACGTGGATGCTGCTAGGGCTTATGATTGTGCAGCGTTTAATAGAAACAGGGGAATAGGGTTGGGTGGGTTTTGGGTAACGAGTCGGATTGTTTTTTTTTAAATTTAATGTTGGGTTGGTCCAATCTCTCAGAAGGCGCCATGTGTCTTGCCGTTAAAATAGGGGCAAATATAGAACTTTGATGGATGGCCTGGGTATATTTGAACGGAAAGTTTTAACGGGGGACAAGATTGAACAATAAATGAAAGTAGAGGGGCAAATTAGGCCCTTTTTAGAGAAATAGAGCAAATGTTATGGTCAGTATGTTACATTGCATATAATGATAATTATATTGGACTAAAAGACAGAATGATTCCCTAGTTTATTGATTAGCAATTTAACAGTCAATAAGAAGAGAAACTGATAGAAGGATTACTGCAAAGAAATTGGCAGGTATTGAGATATGAGTATAACTAAGAAGCCCTTTCACTTTTTTTATGCGAAAGTACTTTCTCTTTCAGACATCACATTACTTGTTCTTTTGCTATGACCGATAGTTTATAAAAATTAAATCAGGAACCTGGATGCTTTTCTGCAGAGAAAATCTATCCTACTAAGAAGCATGAAGGGAAGTCAAATCGTGGAACCTTCAAATCAGTTGTTAGGGTTGTTTGTTCTTGTTTGTCGCAGATTGGAGATGATGTGCTCGTTCTGCAGTTGCTGGAAAAAGTTGTTCTTGATGAGATAGTGAGTTAAACAGCAAGAGTTACTGTATTGATAGTGCTTCATTTTGTGATAATTGAACGTAATATTTCTCCAGCCACTGAGCTCTTGGTTTTATTTGTTCTGCAGTCTCACAAACGACCAGTAGATAACATATATGGTTTTATAAGATTGCTTATCACACTGGATTCAAAACCTACAAGACTTTCCGAGCAGACAATAAATAGATTAAGCGATGTCCTTCCGGAGTACTTCTTAGATGTTATGACTGTAAGTATTTTTTGCTGGTTAGTTTCCTGCAACTTTATAAACTGTTTGTTATAGATCAGCTGATTACTTGTTGCTTCATCTTTCATGGTGCTTAGATAATTCTCTACCATTGAATTGTGGCTTACAAGAATGAAAACTTCTAACTCGACTTTATTGAGATTCCCTACCCCCCCCCCCCCCCAAACCAAAAAAAACACAAAAATGAAAGGAAAACCCATGCTGTCAGAGCTGTGATTTGTGTTGTTGGTAGGAACTTGTTCTTAATTTGCATTCTTGCTGGGATTTCGCTCTTAATTTCATTTGCTTGTAGTACCTTCAACTCATGGCTTTTTGTTTGATTTTTAACTTTGATGTAGCACATTCCAGAGGAAGATAATGAGTCTTCTAAGATATTGATTCGACAGACGAGGCATTATTACCTCCTTCCTGGTTTTTTCTTACTTGATAGGAGTAACATACTGTTAAATCAGATATTGAAAGTGATGGAATCATTCATCAGTGCCAATGTTTCAACGCTTTTGCCTCATCAGGATGGTGCTTTGGTGAAGGATCATTCAAGCAGAATTCTTTCTATAGCCTCTCTTCTCTTGCTTATGCATGGGGATGTTAAGATGCAGAAACTTCTTCTGGCATGCAAGACAGAGATTACGAATATATTACAAAGCATGCTTACGCTAAAGGTATGACTTCAAACTCTGAGGTGAAAGCTTTCTAATTCTCAACCAAGCTAGCATATAGTACAACTCATTTGTAATTTATACTATGAAGGTTACTGGTCCCTATGTTTTACTTTGCCAGAGTCGTGGTTATATTAATTTTTTTGGATGCATAATAATTTCAAAAGCTGCAAGTGTTGCTAGCTCTTGTCCCTGTTAAACCGTATAAATTGATAAACCGAAACTTTTAAAAAGAGAGTTCCTTTAGTGCTGCTGCTTCAAGCTTTCATGAGTGTTAAATAGTGCGTGACCATCTCATCTAAAAACTTAAACTATTTCAGAGAGTACAGTTTTATCTGCATAATTATGTATCAGCATGCCCCTTCACATGCGAGCCTGATTCTTATTCATTGGCCAAGCACATGGAAATTCTTTTTGATAATATGTGACGGTAAGACTCGTATCCAGGACATCTGCCTGCTCTATTCAATGAATACTGTGTGACCATCTCATCTAAATGCTTAAGCTGTTAGAGGGAGTGCATATTTATCTGCTTAATTATGTCTTCAACAAAAGAGTAAAAATTTCTCTTTCAGGTTGCCCCGGGGGGGGGGGGGGGGGGGGAAGAAAGGATCATTTACTTTATGTATTTGTGCGATGGTGCTTACTATATGTTATGCTAAGAACTAATTCCAAAAGATTGATGAACAGAACTTTGTGTATTGGTTTTGGCAAGGAAAAAAGAGAGGCAATCTGTTTCTATGTTAATTCGACCAGCATTAGGCTTCATTTTGATGTTCGTTGCATGTAATCAATTTTATGTTTGCAGTCTTCTGGGGATATTACCATATCAATTGAAGAAAGACATAAAATTCGAAGTGCTTATGATAGACTGGTTGCAGCCATTAGCACATTGGAATACGACTAACCTGGAATAACAAGTTCGAGGTAAGTCTGCTTTTCTGCTACCTAGAATGTGTGCTTGTACAACCCATTTTGTTCTTGAGAAGGCCCTTAAGAGCATCAATTATGAGAGTAGAAAATTTGACTTGCACGAATCAAGAGTCTTAAGCATGTTTATTAAAACCTTTGTGATGTTTTTCCACAAATGAGGCTCATAGTTTAAGGTATGCTTTTCTGCTTTATGAATTATTGATCAGTACCAACCTCGCTGTTACATGCACTTGTTAGAGGATAGATGTTGAAGATGACAAAAGTTTCAATATTCTGCAATTGGATGGGGAATATGGATGCAGCATAGCGTGGTTCTATTTTACAGATAGTTTATTTACCCTCCATGGGCATTTACTAAAAACCAGTCAAAAGTCTCTTTTTAAATAAAGTAATACAATCTGCAGTACAGGACAGAATGTTTTCACTTCCTCGATGATCATCGATTGATATCTTTACTTTCTGCAGACTCAATGGAGTTCATGGTAAAGAAAGAGTTCAGCAACACAATAGTCATTCAATTTTCTTTGATGACATCTAAAAGCTAACGTCTGCCAATAGAGTGGGTAAGTTGGATATTTTTAAGACATTTCTCAATCTAACAATGGATCGTGAATCATATGTAATCCATATCAATTTTCATACAAATGCCTAAATTTGCCTAGGCAATGGTATGCTGTACACTACGTCATGCATTTTCATGTCATATTGAGACTATTTTGTCTGCTGATTAAGCAGTATTATATGCATTTGTCGCTTGAGTTTTATTCCGTTCTGATATATCGTGGATTTGAGAATGCAGAGAAATTATGGGACACATTTGGCAGAAGATAAACAGCATTCAGTAAGTTGTGAGAAACGTAAGTGTCAAGTCTGTTCTGTTGCAAGAACTCAAGAGACATCTCTGTCAACGGTGAACATCATAAGCCTTGTTAAGTCAACAGTGTAAGCTGTGTTGTCGGTGACTCAATCTGATGTCAACTCAAGTAATGATTAGGATGCTATTTGGCAATTTGATTTTTCCATCTGCAGGTTTTGGATAAGTTACAATTACAATCGAGTCTCATTTCGTAGGGTATTCCATAATAGTCAGTCAGCACCCTACATTTTATAGTCACATTTGTAATTTTGTGTTCTTGCCATAACGAGAAAAGGCAGAGAGAGAATGAAGGCATATAGGTATAGGATCCAACAGCATATGTCAGGGCTCTAACATTTCCTTCAAGCTGAGTTTTGCAATGAATTCTAATAACAAGTTATTTTCGAATGTAAAGCAACTCGAAGACTGATTTAAGGAGTAGTATTTGTATTATGTTCGTTAGTTGTTTTTCCATTTTCTTTCTCACTTCATTTACCTCACCTTAACTTCACAGGGTTTTCATTAGGTTCTCTACCCTACGTTTTATCTCCACTTCTGTGGTTTTGTACATTTTTAGTTATGGAAAGGGCATAAAAGACAGCGATATGAAGCCACAAAGGTAATTGATCCTACAAAATACCTAATTGCTCTGGAACATATTTCTTCAAGCTGTACTACTATAATGAGCTCTACTATATTTATAATTATAAAGCAACAATTTGACAAACCTTTTTTAGTGAGTGTACTTTACATGTAATTAATGAAAACTAGGCAACTACCTGCCTCAAACTCTGGAGAACGACCAGAGCTAAAGTCCCTTTAAAGGGGAGAGGCCTTCTCTGCACCTTTATATTATTTGTCACTAACCGATTTTTTTTACTATGTGCCTCACGCAACTGACACTAGTAGTGTGAAACCTTGCGCCATGATCATGATTTTTGGAAATATGGTTAATGTTTCACAGAAATCCCCCAGCCATGTTAACACGGCTTCTGAAAATTTTCTCATACCCTAAGATGTACTGTTGCAAAAATATATAGATAGGTTTGGACTTTTGAGTCATGATTTCGAAATGCCTTTAACTTTCTTTTGAAACTTAATTTTCCCCATATATATACATATATTTGACAACTTTTTCCTCTTCTTCCAAACTATTAACAACAGTGGAGTTGAAGATATCTGTGCAATTTTCTCTCCAACTTGTTATGTTGTAGCCCTCCCCCTGGATCTCCTTTTTAATACATTCGTGGACACCAAAAGCTACTTTAGAGGTGAATTCTCAGAAATAATTAAATTAATACTTTGCTTTATGGTATATTTACATTCTTATTCATTTGGAAAGGTGACAAGTTTTGCCAACTTGAAATAATAAGTGATTATGCAGTGGATGTAAATGCATGTCTTACATTCAAATTAGTTCCCTTTTTCATTTTATCTTTCTCTTAAAAGCACAGGTAACTTAAACAAGAGGGCTGTACATTATTTTTTACATGCTTCATTCTTTCGACAATGATTTATGTTTTACATAAATCCCTTAGCATTATTACACAACCATGTCATGTGGATCTGAAATTTCTTTTGTCCCCCTTTTTTGTGCTATAAAATAGAGAAATTATGGTTTCAAGTGATTGCTAAATTTCTATTCTTAGTTTTAGTATGTCCACACTCTTCTTTGCATCAGTTACAGTGTCTAATCTTAAACATATCCTACTTGTTTATCGTTTATTTGATTGCTTGATCCCACTGTACTCTTCACATATTTTTACTCTCAAACTTCTTTTATAGCATTTCCCAACACTCATCTCTATAGGCATTTAGGCTTAAAGTTTGAGTTGGCAGTAAAACATTATATCGATCTGCTTCAGTCCTTCCATGAACAAATGTTTCCAGAAGATGATCAAACATTGTAGTAATAAGATTCCTATATTGTTTTCTGAGTTTATGCTATAGGTGGATTTATCTCAAGATTTTGTCAAGTATTTCAATTTAGGAGTTTCTACTCATGCATAAGAGCTATCATTGCACATTTCTAGCTTGTCTTGCCTTGCCCAGTTTATATGGACTTTTTGCTGAATCTTCTAATGTATGTTTATGCTTCAAATTTGAAACCAACTCAATCAAATTTTGGAGTCTTTAACTGCCTGCCAATGGTAAAAGAGTAAATTTGGGCTCCTTCTGGTGGATTATCAATTCTCAGAATTAGCTTGCTTTGAGTGTGGCGATACCCGCCACATGATCACAGACTGCCCCGGACTCAGGAAGGTTGCACCTTCCCAGACTACTCAAGCTCCACGGATTCAGTCAGGTCCGCAGACTTCTCAAGCCATGATTGCTGCCCCAGTTGCCGCTCCACCCGCACAGCCAGCTAGGGGTGGGGGACAGGCAGGTAGAGGTCGCCCTAGAGGGGAGGCCAGGCCAAATTCTATGCTTCTCCGCGTAGGACAGAGGCAGTTGCTTCAGACTTAGAGCCCGTTTGGCTTAGCTGATTTAGAGTAGCTGATAAGTATTAGGTGCTGAAAAGCACTTTTAAGTGCTGAAGCTGATTTAAAAAATAAGCAGTTACGTGTTTGGATAAAAGTGCTGAAATTAATAATATGCAGCTAAAGAACTGGGTATACGAAGAGTTTTGTTTTAAAAAGAAGTATTTAGGGATAGAATAGTAAATATTTTGGTCAAACTTAAACTGCTTATAAGCTGAAATTTGATAAGTTGGGGGAGACCAACTTATGGCTTTTGGCTTATTTTTGGCTTATAAGCACTTAACTTATAAGCACTTTTAATTTTACCAAACGCGTAGATAAGCCAAAAAGTGCTTATAAGCCAGTTTGACCAGCTTATAAGCTTAGCCAAACACCCTCTTAGTCATTACAGGTATGGTTCCGTTTGCCAAAGAGATGAACCAGTCTTATTTGATCCGGGATCCACTTATTCATATGTGTCACCTTACTTTGCTATATATTTGGATGTATCTCGTGATTCTTTGAGTTCTCCTGTTCATGTGGCCACACCTGTGGGGGATTCTATTGTCGTGAACCGCGTGTATCGATCATATTTAGTTGTTATTGATGGTTTTGAGACCAGAGTTGATATATTGTTAATTAGTATGGTAGACTTTGATATTATCTTGTGCATGGACTAGTTGTCGCCCTATCATGCTATTCTAGATTGTCATGCCAAGACTGTGATGCTGGCTATGCCAGGATTACCACGGCTAGAGTGGAGGGGTGCATTAGATTATGTTCCTAGCAGGGTTATCTCATTTCTAAACGCTCAGCGGATGGTTGAGAAGGGGTGTGATGTTTATGTATCCTTTGTGAGGGATGTTAATGCTGATATTCCTACCGTTGAGTCAGTTCCGGTAGTGAGAGACTTCCCAGATGTATTTGTTATTGTGATACGATATTGACGCGCATGCAGCGGTATAATGCTTGGGGTTGATGTGCATGCGGCAGTATAAGGTGGGACTTATGTGGGTGTTGCTTGAAGGGGAACTACGTGAAGCCACGCGGCATCATAAGGTGGGCTAAAGTGCGTGTAGATATTTCGGAAAAACTGTTTTCAAACCCTATTTTCAAATGTAAGGCTCACGCGGCGGTATAAAGAAAGATTGCAATTGCAATTGAGAAATGTGAATACGGCAGTACCTCGGTTGTGATTCTTGATTATACGAGGCGGTACCTCAGTTTTGGTTTCATTATACGAGGGGGTACCTCGTTGTGATTCTTGCTATTCGTTTCATGTTGAAGGTGTTTTTGGTGGAAAATATATCTTGTTGTGTCATTCCTTATTATTCTAGCAGTTGTTGTTCGTACATGATCATTGTAGCACTTTAGTTGCTTCTTTTATGCCATTTCTATTGTTTATTTTCGGTACTAGTTCTTGCTACTATCATGTTCCGTATCAATTGTTTCTTCACTTTTCATTACATATCCGTATTACATTTTTATACTGTCTATTTTATATACTAGTAGGTGTCTTGACCTGGCCGCGGTACTACTCTACTGAGGTTAGGTCTGATACTTATTGGGTACTGTTGTGGTGTACTCATTCTACGCTTCTGCATATTTTTTTGTGTAGATCCATGTACGTCTGCTCGTGCCGGTCATCAGAGGTTATTGTAGCTGCTGGTAGGGAGATTTTAAGGTACACCTACTCCACATCCGCAAGCCGCGGAGTCACCTTCCCTATTTTACTTCATGTTGTATTTCTTTCAGAGAGTGATGTATTAGATATTCTAGAATTATTCTATAGAGCTTATGACTCAGTTTCACCAGTTTTGGGGTGCGTATTGTGAGATTCTGCTTTTGGAAGGTTTTTATCTATTATTCAGTTGTTTTCAGTAACTTGTTGATTATATCTGTTTAGTTATTATTGTTTGTTAGGTTTACCTAGTTGTAGAGACTAGGTGTCATCACGATATCTTACGGAGGAAAATTGGAATCGTGAAAATAAATTACATCACTTTTAGACTAATCAAATAGCAATCAATTTAATGCAAATAAATGAAGTATACTACATATATAATTAGTTGGATTGTCTGTAATTAAAAATATTCTTTGAAGTCGTTGTCTTAATCTAATTAAACCTTTTATTGTTCGAGTAATTTCATGCACTAGCGAAAGAGAATTTATAGATATATCAAGCATCACATTGTAATTTCTCAATCCATAGTTAAAAAAGTTCTGTCAATTATCTCAAGTATATGTTTTGAATATTAGTTGTATTATTCTTAAACATATATTTTTATCGAAAATAGTACACGCGCATACTATATAGACCAACAATTGCTTTGCGCGTTAGGGAAAGCACGCACCCTAATACTATTAAAAGTAGATTTCATATTAGACAAAATAGTCATTAATTTTTTTATTTTTTTTTAAGATTTAGGACTTTAAGTTCAACTAAAACTTTGCTTATTAAAACTTGCTTATATGAAATATTATACAGTAAGGCCTAATATTTAGGATATTAAAATTTAAACTATATGAATTAGAAAATTTACTTATAATATTTTTCTTTTTATTGAAGGAAAATTACCAGTTATGTCATCTCATAAATAAGTTAGTAAAAAAATTAGTCAATTCAAAAATATTAGCCAATTAGTTATTTGTATCCAAAAGAATGTCAAATTTTTGCTTTCTTTTGAGTGAGTGTTGTTGGAATTAATTGGATACTTCTTAAGGAGTTTAAATCTCAGTTTTGGGAAGATTTGTTAGAGTTTTGAGGTGATTTGAATTGTAAATTCGAAGTAGAACATGAACAAGGAAAAAGATTATGTGTATCACACCGTGTATCACATCAACAACAACAATGACAACAACAACAACCCAGTGGAATCCCACAAGTGCGGTATGGGGAGGGTAGTATTTACGCAGACCTTACACCTATTCCAGAGGAGTAGAGAGGTTGTTTCCGATAGAACCTCGGCTCACGAAGATGGAAAGAGACAGTGGAGCAGTAACAACAAAGGAAGCCAAAAAGATAACACCAGCAACGTAACAACCAGAAAATAGAAAGAAAAGCAATAACAATGACACAATACTACAGACACAATAAGCAATAAAATCACGGGGAGTCTCAGAGTGCTCCAATTCACCTAGCACAATGTCCCTATCCCCTTCATCATTCAGCAGTTTATGAAAGTAAGTTTGCCATCTCAACTTAATTTGAGCGTCTTCCATTAACACTCTTCCTTCCTCGTCCTTGAAGCACCTCACTTGGTTTAGATCACGAGCCATCCTCTCTCTCGCCTTGGCCGGCCGGAATAACTTCTTGTCCCTGCCTTTGTCCCCAGTTCTTTGTACAAGCGACTAAACGTTGCAGTCTTAGCCTCCGTGACCGCTAACTCCGCTACCTTCCTAACTGTCTTATATCTTTATCTGTTCATCCTCCTCTCCTCCTCGTTTGTACTCTCCACTAACCTCCATGTACGCCGCTTTCTTTCCTTCCACATTTCCCTGGACCTCGGCAATCCACCACCAGTCGTCCCTGTGACCGCCCAAGTAACCCTTCGAGACCCCTAACACCTCTCTCACAACCTCCATTATACAGTTTGCCGTCATTGTCCACATACTGTTTGTGTCCCCACTAGTCCTCCAAGCCCCCATAGCCAACAACCTCCCCTCCAGCTCCTGAGCTTTATCCTTCATCAAGGCACCCCACCTAATCCTCGTACGACCCCGAACCACGCTATTCTTCCTCTTTATCATGATGCCGACGTCCATCACTAAGAGCCTATGTTGAGTCGCGAGTGCCTCGCTCGGGATAACTTTGCAATTCTTGCACAACCCTCTATCATACCTCCTAAGGAGGAGATAATCAATCTGAGTCTTAGTCACCGTACTTCAAAAAGTAACCAAATGCTCCTCCCTCTTCAAAATACTAGAGTCCTTAATCACCAACTCAAAAGCCTTAGCGAAATCCAACAGAGAAGTGACACATCCGTTCTTATCCCCAAAGCCAAAGCTGCCATGAACCTCGCCATAGCCACTAGCAGACATCCCGATATGCACGTTGAAATACCCTCCTATAAATAACCTCTCCATGGGCGGAGTACCACGCACCACCTCATCCAAACCCTCCTAAAACGCCTCGTAACCTCCTCATCCAAGCCCGCTGGGGGAGCATAAGCGCTAATGACATTCAGAGTGAGCCCTCCAACCACTAACTTAATAGCCATTAATCTATCGCTCACTCGCCTAACCTCTACCACCGTCTCTCTAAGTTCCTTGTCCACCAAAATATCTACTCTGTTCTTATCCTTCGAGCCTCCAGAGTACCATAATTTATACCCATCCGCATTCCTCGGTCGCTTGCCGGTGGTGGATATTAGTATCATATTTGTATCACATGTATACCTGTGTGTGACATACATGCGTGATATATGTGTCCCGGAAGAATTTTTTAAACTCGATTTTAACTACGAATTTTGATATCAATTCAGTCCAAATCACCTCCAACCATACACATTGAAATAGGCTCTTTTTGCTTAGATTTTTGGAATCTTATATGTGTGTGTATATATATATATATAATTGTATTTCACACCTTGTTTGCTAACTCATCCATGAAATTTTCTTTCCGTCTTGCATCTAATGTTGTTGATACGCTTAAAAATACGAAGGGAGATCTTTGCGTATCATTCTTGGAGAAAAAAAATCCTTATTTATTTGGGTTTTTAATTTTTGTATGTGATTGGCTAGTTTTGATAAGTCTATGATTAATGGCTGGAGGTTGGTAAGTTAGGACTTATTTTTGATATTTCCGTAAGATTCCCTTTATTGAACATGCATATTTGGATTTAATACAGCAACTTCACAGATCCATTCAAGAAATATTTTTCTCCCAAGTTATATATATAAACTATTGTATATCAGTCAATTTTGTATAATTATTTTACTTGTAAAATATACTTCTGTCATTAAACGTTTAATTGATGTTTTACCTTTTTTTTTCTAAAATTATTTATTCATTAACTTAGGGAAGATGCGCAAAGCGCGTATCCTAAGACTAGTGATTAAAAAATAGAACAATCGAGTAAAGAGCGGCTAAGAGCCCGTTTGACGAAGCTACCAAAAACTGCTTATTTTGAAAAGTACTTTTATTCAAAATTGCTTTTGCAAAGGTATTTTTGCAAAACAGTAATTTTGTGTTTGGCTAATTAATAGTGCTTTTTGCAAGCTCAACGTGTTTGGCCAATATTTTCAAAAAATACTTTTAAGTATAAAATTACGAAAATGACAGTAAAGGTTCAGTTTGCAATTAATATTATTTTAAAAAAAATATTTATTATAAAAGAATTCAATTTAAATATCAAACATAAAGTAAAAAGATAAATTAAAAATTTCGATCAATATAAAATATAGTTATTTCAAAGCAACAACACTGAGTATTTGGTATTACTTATTATTTATATGATAATTTGAATATATCAAATATATCATTCAATATAAATTTAAAATTCACTCTTACGAATAGGTGAAAGAGAATTAAAATATAAAGGGAAAAAAAAGGTATAGTAAATAAAAAACAAAAGGAAAAGGAAAAAAGAAAATTAAATTAATAAGGGATAATTTGAAAAATATAAAAATTTTGTAAGGTTATTTTTGTTTTGAATAAATTAATTTTCTACTTCTGCTTCTGCATCTATTTCTTCGAAGAAGCTAGAATTTGTAGCTTCTCTCCAAAAGCAGAAAAACTGTATATAAGGGGCTTTTGACAAAAAAAAAAGTACTTTTGTCTTTCCAGAAGCTTGGTCAAACAGGCTCTAAGTGCAATACTTAAGGGGCTTTTGCATCTATACCCGATTTTGGGGTCACAATTGAACTCATACCCACTTCGCAAAAAAAATTGCAAGCATACTTACTTTACGATCAACTTCAGACTTATCGGGTCTGAAGTTAAAATGAAATTAGTCTGAGTGAAAAATTGCAATTCAGATGCACTTAAGGCCAAATAAGTCTGAAGTGTAACCAATGGTTTCATGCTAATAGTTCTGAAGTGAAAAATTGCACTTCAGATGCACTTAATGCCAAAAGGTCTGTAGTGCAACAAATATTTTACTACACTTAAGGCTAATAAGTCTGAAATAAAACAAATTGCACTTCAGATGCACTTAAGGCCAAATAGGTCTGAAGTGTAACCAATTTTATGCACTTAAATTGCACATTAGATGCATTTAAGGCCCAAAGGTTTGAAGTGCAACAAACGTTTTCCTAAACTTAAGGCCAATAAGTCTGAAGTGAAAAATTGCACATTAGATGTTTGAAGTGCAACAAACGTTTTCCTAAACTTAAGGCCAATAAGTCAGAAGTGAAAAATTGCATTTAGGATGCACTTAAGGTCATACAGATCTGAAGTGTAACCAATGGTTTCATGCACTTAAGGCCAATAAGTCTGAAGTGAAAAATTGCACTTCAGATGCACTTAAGGCCAAAAAGTCAAAAGTGCAACAAACGTTTTCCTACACTTAAGGCCAATAAGTCTGAAGTGAAAACTTGCACTTCAGATACACTTAATGCCGAAGGTCTGAAGTGCAACCAACGCTTTCATGCACTTAAGACCAAATAGGCCTGAAGTGCAAATTACCCAGAAACGCAAATTTGCTCTTCGAATTTTAACAATCCAATATATGATTTAATCAAATTTGAAACATAACCTCCAAATATCATCAAGATCATCAATTTGTCAAAACAACAATAAATCTAACGAACTCATTTTGCAATTAAGAAAAAAAAAAAAGAAAAAGAAACTCTAAGCAATAGTATAAAATAAAGCGCCACAACAACTCACCACTGTAAAATATCATAAACTACCTTAAAATATGTTCACAAACACCATATAAAATCACTATCACCCGAAGAAGAAGAAGAAGAAGAAGAAGAAAGATGAGAAAAATGCCTAAAGATGTTTAAAAAGTGGATACAAGTTTAAAAAAATGAAAAAGTGGGTACAGGTTAAATGGGGGCGGCCAAATAGGGCGCCACTACAATTTTACAATACTTAATTTGTCAATGAGTTATATAAATATTGCCCAATCTACTTCAGTTTTCACAAAAATGCCTAAGTTCATCGCTCGTCATCGCTCTGTTTCTCTATGCTTTTGCAAGTTCTGAATTTTATTTTTCCTAGGACTATTCAAGTAGCAAGATTAACTCAAGTAACGAGTCATTTTATAGCAACTGTCCCTGGTCGCTTTGCTGAACAAACGCCTGGATTTCGTGTTTTTATACTATCCTTAACAATAGAATTAGCAAGTCCCTCGGTGATCGACTCACTCAAAACATAAAAAATAAGGTCCTGCGTGGAATTTGAGCACAACTTGCACAAATTGGAACAAAACAAGAGAAAGGAGAAAGGATGAAGGGGGAGTCTGCTGGGGAAATAACTAAATTCCAATATAATATGGCACCTGAAATTGAGGTGACCTTTGCTTTTACAAACAAGGGAAATCAAGAATAAGGGGTAAAGAAAGTAACAAGCAAAGAGTGACTTAGACCAAATTCTGACTGGGGTATGAATTCATTTAACTTACAGCAGAAAGATAAAGCAGTACTCCCTTCCAATTTCTCTACAAAAAATGTCCTCAAAGAAGAGTAAAATGCCCGAATTTCTCATGTCTGAACCTAAAAAATAAGTGCAGCACCACAATTTCTACAGATTTTCTCAATAACCCCAGCACTCCTCCAAGCTGCAAATCGGACATGTGAAGGAGTCTCAGATTCATGTCTAACAACCTGCAACGGGGAAAACTGATGAGTTGTACTCAAAGAAGCCATCCAGATAAAAAGACAAAAGCTGATCCGAAGCCTATGATGGAGTTGGAAGATGAAGAAAAGAGGGAAACAAAAAGTTGCTTGTCACATATTTAAGTTGCAAAAAATGAAGGGGATGTCATAATGAAGTGGAGTCAACTTTACTTCAGGGTAACTCTACATGGGTCTCAAAGGTTTTGAAGGCTACTCTCAGAAGCTTTGCCATGTTGATTGATGACTAATACTGATGGCTATACCCATAAATAAAGGATATAATCCAGGCATTCCAAGTTGAACAATTTAGAATGTCAAAAGGATGGGCAGAAGTTGAACTAGGAAACTCTTCACTCTGGAAAATTGACGCAGAGAACCCATAACAGCTAAGAGAGCAAGATGTCATGCACTTGTGCCTAGTGAAATGATCATGATACGCATGATCACCCACCAACTCCCAAAGTTTTCTACAAAAGATGACACACATTCACAGGTAGTTTAGTAATTAATGCTTAAAACTATCGCCGATGCCACTGCATACATACGTACACACACATGCATATATAGACTTATTTATATGCATGTATATAATTATTTTACATATAATTAATCTGATATTCCGGTATTCTGGTGCCAGTGTGCTCGTCATTTTTAATGTCTCGAGCTGTTTGAAAAAATTCAGTAAATAATAGTCCCACCCATACAAAATAACTGTAAAGTTGGCCCAAAATAGGAGTCGCTTTAGAAAACCAAGAAGGCATTAATTGTTTTTCTTAAAATCTACCTTACTCCAATAAATGATCTAAAAAGTCTGAGGAGACAGAGGTAATTAGCCAAATAACCCTTATGATTAATGCTGGGGTAATTAGCCAAATTGCTATTAAATGGTTTTCTTAATAGCATGCCAAAACCTTAAAACACTTATTTTGGACCGGAGGAAGTAATATATTCTAGACAGATTTTACAAGATCTCCAATTCCTTGAATAGTTAACAATAATGTGATGTTTTCCAAGCCAACCTAACTTGTTCAACAGATTGTTAACCAATTACTTCGACTGATGGACTGAGACTGATAGAATAAACAATACTGATTACCCCAAAGTTGAGGCTGTCACATAAAATGGCGCCCCGGGAGTAATATCTAAAACACAATTCTAATGACTGTCTCTGTGTGTGTCCAGAAACTGCAGAAAAGAAAAGCCACCTAAACTAATCATCCCCTGGAAACATACAAGGCAAAAACAATTAAGCTGTAGAATCTCTTTAAAGACAGGGAGTAGGATACCGGCGTTATCTAGGAGAGACTAATATCAACTTGGCAAGATCAACTGCCTCCCTTCTGCTTGAGTGTTATCTTGTCTCCCAAGCTAAGAGCAATTCCTTGTGTTTTGCTTCTTATGCGAATATAACCGCTGAGCTTACCATCTGATTGCTTTTCAATGCTCAGATTCACCAAAGCATCCTCTCCAAACGCACTTTTCGCATACAGATTAGCAGCAAGGAACCCACATTCATCTTCCAAAGCAGATCTGGAATTATGTAAGAAAGCAGATACATGAAAATTTTATACTGTCATCAGCAGCCATGCAT